TCCGCAGGTTTCCGCTTGGTGGTTCACTAATTCACCACCAAATCGAATTTGACCCTCCTCTCCCAAGGCCCCTGATACGACCGTCATGACATTCTCTGTCAGGGTTCCCGTTTTATCGGAACAGATGACCGTTGCGTTTCCCATAGTCTCGCATGATTGGAGATGGCGGACAAGATTGTTCTCCTTCGTCATACGTTTAGTAGCAAACGCTAAAGATAGCGTTACGGCCAGGGGCAGCCCTTCGGGAACAGCAACCACGATGATGGTGATGGCGGTGATGAGGATGTGGAGGAAGCTCTGTCCCTTTTCTTCTGGGCTACGGTTGTCTTTAGGTAGCCGGGCAAGGAACTCAATGAAGAGCACCAAAAAAAGCAAACCGCCGGCTGCGCTCCCGAGCTTTGCAATGTAGCCTAGACACGAACTCAGTCTTGTTCCAGCTCTTGCATTCATAATCGCATTGGTGCGGGGAACAATAGGATACAATCTTTGTGAGAACTAACCTGCCAAAACATTGAGCTTGGACTGCAAAGGCGTGAGTCCAGGGTCGTCACGAAGAGCCATCATAGTTCTACCGAGGCTCGAGTTACTGCCGACTGCCGTTACTAAGAAGGATCCCACGCCATCAAGTACCTTGGCCCCGGAGAGGATAAATGGGTCGAGTTCCTTGTGATTCGAGGCCTCTTCCTGGAGAAGCGAGCGCATTACCTCATCTCCTGGGACCTTCTTCATCAAGTCAGACTCGCCTGTGACGGAAGACTCATCGCAGCTGAGGCTGTGGCCGTTGATGAATACTCCATCAACGGAAATGATGTCTCCTGGCTCCACGAGCATGACATCTCCCACGAGAACATCATGCACCGACACCGTTGTCGCCTTACCCAAGCGGACCACCTTCACAAGCCGATCCTCCTTCTTAGCGTTCAACTTCCTGAATTGACGCTCCTTCTGCCAATCGTTCAAGGCACCAACGATGACCACAATGGCGACGGCGGTGATGATAGCCACGCCTTCAACCCACTCTACTTTGGCGCCTTCATGGTGTGTCTGGCCAAACATTTGGAATAGCCCCAGGGCTAGCGAGATGACGGCCGCGATGCTGAGCAATATCAAGACTCGGTCTCGAAGCGCAGTCAATACTAGCCGTAGAAAGGACGTTGATTTACGATCAGGCAATTTGTTGGTCCCGAACACACGCTTACGATCGATGAAGCAGTCAAATCCTCCATTATAATTATAAGGTTGGTTAATACCGGACTGCTGTAGATTGGTTGAGCATTCCTGTGGGCTGCCCGGCCGTCCTGCTACCACCAAATCTGAAGTCGCCTGTTCAAACGTGATATTGTACGGGGGGTGCTTCTCATCAACGCTCAAACCACTCTGGCGATTGGTGTGCAGGCCTTTCTCCAGCCCTGATAGTCCTCCTAATGCCACAAATGCAGCTAGGCTCTTCGGATTGATGAGCTTTCCCAGCTGTCCCGGCGAGAATGCAAAAGGCTCCTTGCTAACGTTGAATAGAGGCTCGTCTCCTGGACTAGGTTGGAGTGCGCCCGCGTTGCCAGGTTGAGTTTCTAGGAGCGCGAGCCTGGGTTTGTGGACATCTCTGGAGCTGATATGAGCGGTGCCGGATGAGGCACCGGACTCTGCTTCGAGCTGCACCGTTGGAACTGTCAATGCATTCGAGACCCCTTTGGGGGTTGGCTGAGATGTTAAAAGCATGTTTTTCTTATTCGAAGAGGATATACTAGCTGCGCTTCGCAGAGGTCGCCTCAACACCAGGTTTTCTCCTTTCCACTATGGACGGCTGAGATATGTGCCTTGATGGTAGGCGATTGTTTGAATAAAGTAATATAATTAATGGGCCGCGATATCAATTAAAATCTCGTGATTCTGATTTATATGCCCAAGAGGACTGTCACGATGGTTCACGGAGAGGAGGGCAATAAATACACACCAACATAACTTTTATTCGCCTCTCGTAGCTCACAAGAACAGGCAAGCACAAGTCAGGACATGTGGTTCGCTGATGATTCTCGCCAATCATAGAGCGGTTGTTGCACTGCCTCTTTGCAGGACACCCTTCTTTTCGAGTCTTCCTCATCGCGCGCGTCTATTGGATAGCATAATTAAGCTTGGAGAGTTTAGGCATAAATACAAAGATTTAGGTTACGGTAGTCACCAAGCCCAACAACGGGTGGCGATTTAAGGTTTACATGCTTAATCGGTCTGCTTAACAATGATGTCGCGATGATTAAAGAGATAGTGGCAGAGCTCATCTGTTCACGCATCCTTGGAGATGACTGTAGTGAGGCTATGCAACCGCGGATAGCGGCAATTTAATCACATCGTGCACTGGGTATAGCCTAAAATGATTGGTGCCGTCAATGGAGGATCGATATCAGGAATACGTCAGACAGAGAAAGACAGACTCTTCGGGACAGAGACGAAACCGTTTACACAGCCACCGAAGGGGTTAAATCTTCTGTTCTCTATTGACCTCAAGGCGGGCAAAGTGGCACCCGAATCACTCAATGGAATGTCACCGAGGGTAGAAATCTAGCGGGCCACACTTATACAAGAAGATGGCTTGTATTTCCTCCTCGTTGCTGAGGGTGGGAGGAAAGACTTGAGGGATGTGCATTTCTGATAAACAGAGGTACAAGCGAGTACTCTAAACCCCCTGAGGTATCCTACACGGCGATGCTCCTGCCTTCCTACATTCACCTTCACAGGTAGCGCTGAATATGACGTAGGTGAGGGAGCGACGTTTCTATTCCACAGATAGACAGTGAAGGTCTTCTCATTATTAGTAGATTCGCTTTTCTAGCCAAGCATACTGCGAGGCATCGGGTCTTTGAAAAGAGTTACCAACTTGAAGCCAGAGTGATAGTTAGGATCGTGAGGGCTTCTCTTTAGCCCTTGGGTCCTGGGAAAGCTGTTCAAATGAAATGATTGAAATTGAAAAAAATACCCGCATAAAGCATATAGTAAGGGTTATGGAAAGTTAACACACTATTGCATGTTTCTTTGCCACTTAATAATTCTGTAGCTTCCTGTACTAGAACAACCCTCATTCAGACACAGGCAAGAAGAGGTGCAAAAATGAGACGTATGCTAAACTCTTGCCAATGTGTTACATAGTATGCGCCTCTCGCCCTCGATCCTTCGCTTTGACGCGACCCTTGCGACAGGTGGTATTAGCTCGGTTAATGCTACTCTGGAAGGAATGTGACATTGGCGCGCTACGCTCGAGATGAAACCATTGGATGTTTACTCTAGCATTTGCCGCACCATGTCAGCAGAACTTCGAAACCCCGCAAACATAAGGACCTGATTCAGATCCTCTTGCCCTCCTCGGCAGTTTGAAACGTCTCCCGAAGGAGGCTGGGCGGTAAGAAGTCCGGTTGGCCACCACATATAAAGACCTAGCATTCGACGACAACAACCACAGCACTATTTCTCATAATTACAACACCATTTCTCATAATCACAACATCAAAACACTCTCAAGCGCGATATTTCACAATGAAGCTGTCTGTCATCGCTCTTACGACTATGCTTGGCCTGGCCGCTGCGTAAGAATTCACCTTGCTATCTCTCACCTTCTGCTTCAAGTTGAACTAACTTTTGGAAATTAGCGAATGCTACGAGGGCTTCTGGTATTCTGACCGCAACACCCGTGAGCCCTGCGCCTCCATTTGCGAAGTTGAGAATGGAGGAAAATGTATTCTCAATTGTCCTGAGGAGATCGACCCCAACTTCCCACTTCTTTGCGGAGCAACCTGCCAGTGCCCTTAAGCATCAGGACAGGCAGGGCCTGAAGGAAGTTAGCAAAATAAATAGTTGACAATGTTCTTCGAAGAGACGCAGTTCGCTGTGCTTCGAAGAAGCATTTGCAATGAATCCACCTGAATTCAAGCCTTGAGTGATGATCAAGTCATTCCTAAACACTGTAGATGGCGGAGACTTGTCGTACCATATAGAGACCCAATTCGTTCAGCTGGTGCATGTGCCAACTTGTATTTGGAGAAGTCAAGGTGGAGACTGGCGAGATTGCTCCCGTAGTGTCGCATATGTTCAAGATTCAGAGCCCAGGAGACAGAGGCAGCAGAAATGAATGACTGTCCCGCAATCGTCCATTCCGCCCTAGCTAATTGGATATTAAGAACAATAGGCTTGGCGCAGTGTTGAAGAAAATATTCGAAACTACGAGTGTCCATGTGACAGTTTGCAAGTTTGAAGACTTTTAGACTGGGCGGCCCGTCTTCAGACAGTAAGTCCGTGGGAAGCTCCTCATTGAAGAAGTCACACCCCCCGTATGCTATCACATTTGAACAGGCGACCTCAGATTTGGTGGTAGTAGGACGGCCGGACGGCCCACAGGAATCCTCAACTCATCTACAGTGTATATAATTGAAGGTAATATTATGAAGCTGAGATGTCATCTTGTTCCAGAGCAGGAAAGAAATCGTCCTCTTCAACGTAGAAGGGGGCAGCAGATTTAATACCCAAAACACTAATGGCACTCTTTTCGAGTTACAGCTCCCCAACAAGCTCAAGAATTCAGCATTGCCTCCTGTCCGGAGACTCTGAGAGTACATAGCACATGAATTCCTCTTAATAAGGCCACTCTTGGTGTTCCGCTAGGCAAGTGGCAGAGGGGACCAAAGGATAGGGCTCAGAGGCTTCTCCTTTCAAGGAAACTACCGTCGCTTGATCACGTCCGTTTGTATGTTAGATGCTGCAGGCATACTGCCTAGGTCCCGAATTCTCGTGCTCGTTAAAGATGATTAAAGTATCGACGACCTGCTCCCGTATACAACTCGTGACTGCCGTGTCTGCTGACCAAGAGGTCGGACTTATGGACTGTTTACTTTGGACTTAACTAGAGATCAGTATTGCTATTCTCTGTTCAATTATTAAGTGAAAGGCAAAAAGACTACAAATTAATCCAAGCCTAGAGATCATATTGTTTACCACAAGCCGTGATATCCCCGCTTGTTCTAAGTCCTCTCATCATCAACGAACTTTGAAATCCCTTCCGGAATAGTATTAACGGCGTCAACGGTGGCGTTCTTGAAACAGCTCATCTTTCCAAAATATACACCATGATCAACGGGATCATATTTGATGAAAGGATTCGTGTTACAGAGGAAGTTCAAATTACCATTACAGATCTTGATATCCTCAACAGGCCAGTTCTTTGGGTCGCTTGGGTTGCCGGCGAGCCAAATCTCAGGAGAAGTGTGACGGTACCCGAACAGTTGCCAAGGAGGGAGGCGAGGGACAGGATCGGCCTCGTGTGTCACGCGGTACAGCTTACCGGGCGATTGACTGATGTAGTCACTGATGATGTCGTTTCCCACGCGGGGCTGCCCGTAGGTGTAAAGGTCGAGCTCGTAGCCGTCACCTCGGAGATGAGCTGCCGCGACTGCCGCAATGGCCCCTCCTAGAGAGTGTCCAACTACGTTGAGACGAAAATCCGGATGGAGGGCCTGCGCCTTATCTATTGCAGCACGGACATCCGGAGAGAGCTCGATCCAAGCGTTATAAAACCCTAGATGGAATTTGCCGCCAGGGACTAGGAGGCTGTTGACAAGAGCAAAGTTCAGGTTGGTTTCCCAGTTCTGGTTAGACGCTGTACCTCGGGCGGCGAAGATGATCTCGTTGCGAGATGGGACTACGGCCACATAGCCAGCGATATCGCTGTTTGGTGCCTGACCAGTACTATTAGGGGAATGCAATGGTCAATACTTTGATCCAAACTTCAATGAAAATCCTCGTCACATACTTGAAGCTTTGAATTATAGTCCCTGCATCCTTCAAGACTTCATCGCAATTGGCTTCGCAGGCCACTGGTTCCCCAGCTGGAGTGTTGGCATTGCAATAAGTGGCTGCTGCATACTCGGAATAACGACTGAGTTCCTGGACCGGAACATCTTGGGAAATATAATTAGCATTGCCGGAAGACAGGCATCGAAGACTTAATCAAAATTTACCATTTGGTTTATTGTAGACCCTATTTCCCACATTTGTGGCAAGCAGACCACTAGTAAGTAAACTCGCAACAAAGATTTGCGACAGCATTGCGATCAATGGAGCAGAACCTGTCTACCTCCGAGCGTAACTTAATATGACATGGGTCAAGTGGAGGCATTTGTCTATCATTTTTGAACGGGCTAGGGGCATCAGCTTTATAGGATAGAATCGCCTTAGCTAATGCAATGGCTCATGCAACTCCCTGTAAGAATTAAGTCATTGTGCAGGTGTCTCGGTGAATTAGGTGCATGATTCCCGTAGCTACTACAACATCGGCCGAATTCACAAGGCGGAACAAGGGGTATAAATGCTACAGGGGGTGTTGCTGAGAGACATGTTCTGGTTAGGCACATTAATCGCTCCCCCGTCTTACGGTCTCACAATGTGGAAATTGCCTACTCTTTACTAATTCGGGAAAGATGCTCGGTGCATGCCATCAACTTGTCTTACAACCACGTATCTCTTTTTGAGGAATGTGTGTTGGATCTTCCAGCCAAGGGAATTTTACCTCTTTTAGGTGCCTTAGCCGGAAAGGGGGAATCTATAGATACTCGCACAATGAGGGAAGAGTTGCACCACGTTATAACTGTCGCCTGGCGTGCAATTCATGCGCTTCTGGTATATTACCAATGTTAAAGGCACTGTCCATATCTATTTTATGCCTCAATCAAGAAAGCATGACTGAGGCCGCGGCCTGTGAGCTGCAGGAAAGACATGAAGGTTTATGAAGGGGAATTGTCAACATCATCTCCAAGTTAAGTAATGCGCTCAGGCTTGGTCACCTGTATCTTTGAAGCATCCATCGATCACTCTGCCGAGGTAACAACTCGGCGCCCTGCCGTATCATCTCTCTCTGTTTGTCGTGCAATACTCCCATCAGAGAGGTCTGGCGATGACCGTCGAGCAGCTCCTGATTCAGCTGGCCGTGGTCACTCGGTCTCAGGATTATGCATTCTAGTCCATTATCTCAAGACTCAATGTCTCGTAGCGATGTCTTCACTTGAAGCCTAATGGGAGCAGAATAAGAATATCGTTGGAGATGGCATCGGCGCGGATGAACAGGAATTCGTGAGTTTGAAGGCTTTGTAGCAGGTGATTGTTTTGACTTTCCTGCGATCGAAATCGCTGTGTCCGGTAAAACACTGCCTGCTAGCAAACCCAATGAGAACTTGATCGATCATGACCTCAATGGTCGTTTCTATGCCGCGTAGTGTTATATCGATATCGCCAGGGATGTAGCGGTTCTTTTCTGCAGGTTCTTTCGGAATTTAACATTAAACCTAGCAAGACGTAAGTGAAAGCAATCGAAGTAGCCATAGGCGATGCGGCTTGTCAGGGCTAAGAGGAGACGAATAAGCAACTGCTGATGTTTAAACCAGTATGCCAATTTAGCGAACCGCTTTCAGTCAGTCGGTACATCATCAGACTCTATACGCCGTCCTTGGGTACATTCTTATGAAGCTAAGCCAGTAAGAATGATAATGATTATAATAAAAGTAAGGACGGGCCATTTTGATTTGATCCATGAATTAGAGGGCAAGAGCAAACAGGCAGTCTCGAGTGAGATATCAAGCAAGACCATACATAGCAAAAAGGGAAGAGAAACCAGAACTTAGCCGTGATATTGGAGTGACCCAACTTTCCAAGGCAGTATAAGGCAAACAGAGAGCCTTATTATCACGGAAAGGTTTCGTCTGGCGCCTTGACCAACCTATCCATACTGTCGAGCTACCTTCGTATAGTGGAGTCATGGATCATGATAATCCCCAGGGTGCTTCGCCTTGCAATCTGCCAATAATCTCTAAAAGTGGTACGGAACGAGTGCATTCCACACTACAAATAGACAATTACTTATCTGATATAGCTGGGCTCGCTCTCTGTTTCCTCTTTTACTTTAGCGTTTAGCCTGGTAGCTTATCTAGAGGTTGTGCCTCTCCGCTTCCCTCCCTGTGAGGGTTGATCTGTTCCACGTCCTCGTATTAGCCTGTCCGACGTCCTTGCAACACCTAAGTCTTTATGCCTAGATCATGCCTCTGGAAGCGGCCATCACCAGCCGTTAGCCTTTAGGAGACATACAAAACACTTTCACCAGATGGTGGTGCCTGCAGATCAGATCACAGTTTTGAGCGGGGCCGTGACATGACTCGCCGCAGGGGTCTAACGCTCGCTCGGAACTACCTGCCTCATCCTTCACGGTTGCTCTCCACACCCGCTTGCTGGTTGCTATCATGGTCTTACCCATGCTGGTGAGATTCTTGTGTGTCTTGTACGTAATACCCCGGAATCTCCAGGATTTCGGCGGCGTTCTAGGCCTGGACTGGGACAAGTGTAACACTCTAGAATCCGGGGTTATCCTCCCATGAGAAACGCAAATGATAACTGGGCCACGGCAATGAATTGTCAACACCAGCCTGTCGGAATCTAGAAGGGGGGCTAGGCGTGGTAAACGGCCGTAGAGGCGGGTCGATAGTAACTCAGCACGTTGGGAGAATGCCCTCCGCGCAGGCATTTAGATCCAAGTCTTATCGCGGCACCATGCACCACTCCTTACCCCAGACCAAGATAGAGAACGGCAGGTTAGCTTATCTCTCGGCCCAAAGCCAGGGAAGGTGCTGGCGTTGTTTACCAATCTTAGACGGGGATATTCACTATCATCTGGAACTCGCTTCCACGTAGCTTGCAGCACCAATCATTGAGCCTAAATGGTAACCGTTAGGTTTCGTGTTGTATCTCAAGTCCCTAGGCTTGACGATATGGCGACGTCACCGCTGATAATCAGAGACGTGTTCCTAGCCTCTGGTTTTGGAAGTCTTCAGTACATAGAAGTGGCTGAGTATTTTTCTCGATTGCTCCTGAATCCCATTTGCCTAATATAATATATTTACTGCCTTTCCTCTCCATGCCTCTTGCGTTGTTACCAGCATCTTCCGATCCTCTCATCTCTTTCTGCTCTCTTTCCCATACTCTTCATCATCTGCTTTACAACAGAATATTCGTTCACAATGTCGAGCGATAAAAAAGATGACGAGTCCTTAAGGAGGACTGGCTCTAACAAGGTTGCCGATGTCTCAGCTGGCGTTGTCATAGACGAGGTGTCACACGCCGGCGGCTTGCATCGCGTCTTGGGTAACCGACAGATCCAGCTTCTCTCGGCCGGTGGTGCAATCGGTACGGCGCTCTTCATTAGCATTGGTGCCGCTTTGGCCAAAGGGGGCCCTGCCAGTCTGTTCATAGCATTTAGCCTCTACTCTGCCGTGCTTGCATGTATCAACAACTCAATGGCGGAGATAACAACGCACATGCCCGTCGCTGGAGGCTTTGTTCGTCTCGCCGGGTACTGGGTTGATGATGCGCTGGGTTTCATGGCCGGCTGGAACTTCTTCTTCTTCGAGGCACTGGCTATCCCATTCGAGATTACGGCCATGACCTTTGTCTCCTCCTTCTGGAGTGAGAGGGTGACCGATCCGGGCCCCACCGCCGCCATTTGTGCTGGCTGCATAATTATCTATGGGTAGGTCGTCCTGACTGATGTGAATCCTAGATCTTGGGTAGACAGAAGCAATTGCCCCCTTCTCTCATGTAGCGCCGACAGCTAACCGCGTTTCCATATTTCCATAGCCTTCTCAATATGGTCGCTGTCAAGGTCTATGGCGAGTCAGAGTTCTGGCTGTCTTCAGGCAAGATCATCCTTCTCGTTATGCTGTTCGCCTTTACCTTCATCACTATGGTCGGTGGGAACCCCAAGGGAGACGCGTACGGCTTCCGGTATTGGTCCAACCCTGGCGCCTTTGCAGAATATCTTTCTCAAGGCGACCTAGGTCGGTTCCAAGGGTTCCTCGCCTGTCTGTACACTGCCGCGTTCACCATTGTTGGCCCCGAGTACATCTCTATGGCTGCTGCTGAGACCAAGCACCCAAGCATTTACGTCAAGGAGGCCTACAAGACTGTCTATTATCGGCTCTGTTTCTTCTTCGTTGTCGGCGCTCTCGCAGTGTCCGTCGTCGTCCCATATGATAACCCGACTCTTCGTGACCTGTGGTTTGGTACCGGTATGGGCAATGGCTCCGCCGCCGGCTCCCCCTACGTTCTAGCTATGAGCATCCTCGGTATCAACGTCTTGCCTCATATTGTCAACGCCTTAATCCTCACATCAATCTTCTCAGCCGGTAACACATACTGCTTTTGCGCCTGCCGCGTGCTGCACGGCCTGGCTCTCGAAGGTCGCGCACCTAAGATTCTGGCTCGTACTACCAAGAGCGGTACCCCGATCTATGCCTTCGTTGTTGTCCTCTGCTTCGCTTGCCTGTCCTTTCTCCAGGTCAGCAGCGGTACTGCCACCGTTCTCAGCTGGATGACGAGTCTTATCACCGGCGGAGGCCAGATCAACTACATCGTCATGACCGTCACCTTCCTTCGCTACCACAAGGCCTGCAATGTCCAGGGCGTCGATCGCAAGACCAGGCCCTACTACGGCCGCTTCCAGCCCTACAGCACCTGGCTCGCCATCAGCATGCAAATCTTCATATGTCTGAGCCTCGGCTACACCTCCTTCCTCCCCTGGGACGTCGGCAGCTTCTTCGCCAGCTACACCATGCAGATCCTCATGCCGGTTCTCTTCATCGCCTGGAAACTCTATCACAAGACGCGCATGGTACCAGCCGCCCGCATCGATCTCATTTGGGAGAGGCCTCTCATCGACGCCTACGAGGCTGCCGAGACTGAAATCCTGACCGGCTTCTGGGCCGAAATGGGGAGTCTGATCGGTTTCCGCAAGGACAAGCAGAGCTCACTGGAAGCACCGATGCCCAGCAGTATGTAAGCCCCCGAGGGTGAGGCAGCCACCTTGAGGTGGGTACAAGCATGGATTCAAGGTTGTGCCTTGTGCCCTCTGCATGCATTGATGCTTCTACATACTACGGTTTCTTATCTTCGCTCAATGTGCTCAACATAGAAATAAAGAAGTAGGGCACGAGGGATCATAGGAACAGTATGATCGCTGAAAATCTTCTCTTGTTTCGTATCATTCTCATCTTCATTATTCGCTCTCGCTGGGAATCCATCTTTAACACACAGGGTACATATTCTATTACGGGATAGTTTCTCATCGTTATGTTGTCGGCAGATTCGGCCTGACCTCTTCTTGGTCTCTTAGACTAATTGCCAATTAGGGTGTCTTCGCTACAAAAGGATTGATTGCCACGATCGCAATTACATTTGGAATAAGCTGAATTACTCTGGCAATACTGCAAAGTCAGGTTAACAAGACGGAGGATTGTGTCACTTCCATAGGCAAGGCAAAAAAGTAGCTGTAATTTCCGATTCTAATGATAGTAGAGACCTTTCCTAACGGTCACTTAAGGTAGTTTTCCCCATACTATGCCCCCTGAAGGGCTGCTCATTGCTAGCAATGAGGATGTAACTGCTATTGATGACCTATAATCAGGGGAAATCCATAGAATCCTTTCATCGCCTTTGAAAACCCATTCGCTGTCTTCACTGATACTATAATTGTTGAAGGTTTTTGAGTGCCACGTGTCGCTGGAGTTTATCTGAAGGTCATCGTCCCCTTCTTTGTATACAGTTCCGATGTTGGTGGAGAACCTCAAATCGGTACATGAAGCGGCCTGTAATACCTGGATGTCCGAAATATTGGCTGAGAGCATCATGGCAGGCGACTTTAGGCTATAGATTCTAAGCTTGTCCGAAAAAGCCACCGCAATCCATTCGCCATTTCCAGAAAACTCGAGGAGCCTTGTGTTGATTTCATCTAGATTGATGGTATAGCTACGGGCCTTTGCATGGAGATCCCATACTCGGATCCTACTGAACAACGACTCGAGAAACACTTCTTCGAGTATTGCAGCATAGCAACCATTTGAGGAAAATGAAAAGTCAAGGATGTACCTATTTTTAATATTCAAGATCCAACCCCAATTAGATGTGTCCCATATTTTAAGGGTGGACTCAGTGGTGCAAGCAAACCACCGATCATCCTGTGAAAAAAACAGGTGGATCAGGTCTGCTCTCCCGAGATTTCCACTACCGGACATTGTGTGAATGCAAATCTGGGTGGCTACGTCCCAGATTTTAACGCTGAAACAATTGCCGCCATCCGAGGCTTTTTCAATCGCCGCTGATGCAAGCCACCGCTGGTTGTTTGAGAAATTGAGGGAAGACACGAGGGCCTGGCGGTCCTCAGTCTCCTGTGCAATTGGCTTATCCATTGACATATCCCAGAGCCTGACAGTGCGGTCTTCTGATGCCGAGGCAAGTAACCGTTTGCTTGGTGAATATGCGAGGTCGCTAATCCGTTTTGAATGGCCAGAAAGAGTTTGGGTGCAAGCTCCCGCGAAGGTCCAAATTTTTATTCTTTGGGAACGGTATCCGGCCGATGCGAGAAATGTAGATCCCAAGCAAAGAAGACCATATGTGATCAAGTCGTCAATCGGAAATCTATGTATACACTCCCCTGTTTCAGTGCTCCGAACTTCGATCTTGTTCTCTTTATTATCTTTAAAGCGCAAGGCAAGCAAGCTTGGATCAGTGGCAGAAAATGAAGCCGGGTGTCTGTCCTCGAACTCCAGGAGACGGTTACCGGTGTTCAGATTCCACACCGTGACCTCCTGATAATCAGCAGAAGGTGTCGAAGCTAATTTTCGACCATCTGTAGACTGCGAAGTCATCAACCCAGCTCGTATTGATCGTGCGGACACAGCTTGACGTGCTCAAATCCCAAACCTCAACACTCTGAGTAACTCCCTCATCTAGGAAGATCAATAACTCATTGCGTTGTGGCGAAAACTGTACCCACCTGGTACTTTTTTCGCCGTTTATAATAATATCCTGCGCAAACTCTTGGGCCCGAAGTTCCCATATTTTAATGGGATGGTTGACATATTCCGAAGCAATCGCGAGCAACTGCTTGTCATGAGAGAAAGACATACCCACTGCTCGTGGAGAAAAGCTCAGCTTCTGAACGCATTGGCCTGAAGACGTGTCCCAGATTCTCACAGTCGCGTCGTAAGAGCTAGAAGCTATTTCACAACCATCATGGGAAAACGCCACGGTGTTTATAGTTCCCATATGACCTTGCAGTGTGTGCGCGCAGACAGCGTCCCAAGCTATAGGTAAGCCGGAAGATATTTTCACTCTTGTTATCTCTTCTTCTTGATAGTTTTGCCTGACAAAACTGCTCATGGGGCTGAACACCAGAGCTGATCCATAGACTTGGAGAGGTGCCATCTCGATTACTTGCTGGAAAGAAAACACCAATCTCTGCGAATCTTCAGCGAGATCATTCAAGCTTTGATTCCTTTGCTCGCCCTACCGATTTTGTTAGCAATCACAACTTTTCGCCCACACGTAATATAGATGCACCCACGATGATAGATTTTAACTTCTTCACTGCTCTCACCGCCTCTGGCACTTTCTTCAGTAAAGACGCAGCTTCCAGCCAGCTCAAGAGTTGGCCCCTGAAAAAAACCTCGATTTCTTGTCCTGTCCGCGTGCACCAGTTTGGGACTTTCTCCAAATGGTCCACCCAGAAAACACATGGATATTCTAGACCAGCTAATGGGTCAAGACGAGGCACCGTAATCTCTTCGATAAGCGCCCCGGGGTTTTCGAGATTATAAATGTTCTTATCAAGGCCTTTCAGAACAGCTAGAGAGCGTTTAAACATGTGTAAGTGTTGATGTGGGATCCCGTCTGTCAATATCCTCATTGATTTGACCAGAAAGTCTTGGGCTGTTTGATGCACAAAGTAGACAGTTCTTTCATGCGTTGTCAGAAATGAGCCGCAGTCCTTGACTACAACGCCGAAATCTTTAAGTCTAATACCAACTTCCTTTAGTTCTGTAACCAGTGTATAGAGCTCATTAATCGCCAGTGGGCGGAAGGAGGTGCATGCAGTAGCAAGGATCTGTTTTAGAATATTCCCATGCTTACTGGCAAAGATCTGCTCTATCATCCGCTCATACAGGTCGCTCAGCTCTTGCGGCATTTCTCTAAGCTTTTGCATCGTATAGTAGCGCCTAGTCTCGGGGCGTGCTAGTTCTTCACACACCAAGGCCACCCAAAGGAAAGTGTCGCTAGCCTTGTACTGTAAAGTTTCGAAAATATTCTGTTTCAGCTTGGGATCATACCTCTTAATTTGCTCCAAGTGATCTACTTTTTTCTCTATAAAATACTTCACTGCCGTGGAAATGGGAGCCTTATTCAATTCGAGAGACACCTCGATATCGCTGCAGTCATTTCGAAACTGATCTTCAATGTCAGGGCAGTTTCGGCTTGAAAACAGCCATTTTACATCGAATATGCCAGAAAGCTCGATGATGAGACGAATAATGTCACGTCTATCACCATCAGAGCATTCATCCAAGGCATCAATGACAAAGACGGCGCTTGCTAAAACCGGGTCGCAGAGCATGACGCGAAGGAATTTTTCCAGGGCGCTTAGCGCATATGGGCCTTCGAAGAGCTTCTTCCCTTGAACACTATAGCTCTCGCGGATATATAGAACCAATTCTGGCCGTTGTTGGCAAAGCAACCATATCAGGCTTCTAAGTACTGTTGGAGCACTTCTTTGGTTTTGTTCCTGCGTCGCTTGGCAGAAGAAATAGGCGATTGGCTGTGTAGTTTCCTTCTTCAGTTCATCGATTATGCCGCAGAGAAGCATTGTCTTTCCTTTGGCTGGGTCTCCCTTGATCCATAGAAGGCGCCTTTCCTGATCTCGTCGAAATCTGCAGTAGGTTTCGTGGCGTAGGATCCAGCGGTAGGCATCCTCTAATAGTCCACCCTTTGTGCGCTCTATGAGTGCTTTGTGGTCCTCAGGGTTGATAACAAGCAAGTCGCACAGACATTGTTTGTCCCTTTCATCCAGTTGAAATTGACGAAGCGTTTCTGTCTGGTTCTCTATAGCCATTTTGACCTCTGCGAAGCCCAAGTCATAGTTTTCTATTTTCTCAACGAAGGACGTCCAGAGGTCTCCGTTGGAATTGACGTCCTTAGGAGACTCAGATAATGCTCCCAGGAGAGAATCAACGGGGATTGCCTATCCGATTAAGCTTCGCATCTTCAAACTGAAGCCGTTATTTTCCTGAGCTTTCTCTGAAATGACTTCTGGTGTGAGCTTTGCCAAAGCATCCATAGCTTCGTGTGAAGGTTCACTTTCAGGGTCATCTGACGCCCATATTATCGCATCTCTCAGACCAGGTTCGTCTATAGACTTCGCTTGATCCTCCAATTTGTCTTGCATCAGCAAATGACAAATAGAGAAACAGAGCGCAATTCCGTGACTCAAATCAATGACCATCTCCTCCTTCCGTGAGATGCGACCGTAATTTTCCTTGTACAGTAGAGGATGAGCCAGCTTATTGTAAAGGCTCTCTGCTAGACATGTGACTTGAATCTCAAAGCAGACGTTGTCAAATTTATGGGATATATCAGGAAGATCAGACCTGACCGTGACATGATGGTTCGTACTCTCATAGGCGCCAAATAATGCCTTCCAGTCCTTTCCAACACTGCGATGCCGAGGGAAGATATTTGAATCCTTTGTTTGCTGAAAGGTCCTCCTAATAAATTCGTTGGCCGGCTCAGTGTCAGAGAGAAAATCAACAGTAATCCGAATGCCCGTTAGATCATGCATATCGTCTAATATTTCGTGAAGTGTGACGTAGAGGCCTTTTCCGTGAGTTATTCGATATTCTTCTCGACGTGCGATGGACTCTTCAATCGACTCGCGAGATTTCACCCGACCAGTCACTGTGTGAGGAACTTTGACGTGGCGAGTGCAATACTCTCTCATCTCTCGCATCAACAATGCATAACCACTCTCGATCTCTGGCCAAATCTTTTCCACAAAATGAACTTTTACATGGTCATTTGTTGGAGCATTGGAGAAAAGGTCGCGTATTTTGGCATGAAGTGGTAAATCTTCATGGTGGCGACCTCTCAGCTCGAGGGGCCGCGACGACGGTAAAAAGCCCATTGTACAGCTAGGCTCCAGCAAAATGCGACGATGGAAAATGATAGAGCACTAGCTTAGTAGGTACAGCAAGCATAAGGTCAAAACAGGAGCAGTTTGCATCTCCCTGCTGGGTACTGGTAATGGTCGAGCCTAGCTTGCTTTACTCAACTGTAGGAAACATAAAAGATTAGGCTGTGGATATCTAGTGAAAGCAAAATGGATTACCCCGCTCGTGTTGTTCCTTAGTTGCGTAAGGTAGTTTACGACTGGAACCTGCACATATCCTGTGGCTCACGAGGTACAACTCCCAATCAGATACGGCCTGCAACGCCACATTGGTTCGCATAGGCGTTCTTCGTTGGTGAGAATGGAGTATTAAGCAGGGCCACATTGCAACCGAAAGGGACACGTAGCAAACAGCGACTGGTTTGGGAGCCATTCCGGAGGCACGCAGCTTTTTTCCTAATTAACTTGTTCGTTCGTGGAAGCCTCAACTAAGGACCGATTAATTTCATGAAAAGATGGACCAGCCAACTCATAGTTCTTACAAAGATTTTACCTTCTATCGAACCAAATTAAACCCCTCACTGTCTAGCCTGAACCAGTATCTAAATCGGGAAGCTGGGGCTGCGAGCACGGTCACAGTCTTAGATTTTGGGGAGCATGAGACAACATCTCAACATCAAATGGTGGAAGGGGTGGATTTATCTCATTTAACCACTACAAGCTCTTTGGTTTCTACGAGAATCATCCTTATCGAAGACATCAGCCCACGACTGATTAGCAGCGTGGGTGCAGCATTTGATATTGACCCTTCCTTCTTTGCCGGCTACATCAGCACCGATTTTGAAGCTATTGAGAATAAACCGCCGACGCCCTCGCTTGTCACACTCCCATCTGTCACTGCTGAAAGGGGCCAGCTTCACCTTCATTATCATCTTGTCATGGATTTGGGGAGTGCAGAGACCTTTACTACAGATACACCTTACGCATTGAAGACCGATGCAAATGTTGCCCGAAATGTTAGACGACTCCCACCTTTATCGGGAAGACAACTCGCTCTTGCCCGCGCGTGCTGTTCAGTCTTGTTGAAAAAGATTGGGGATCTATGGATATGCAAGTCTCCTCTCTTCAAGGCTTGTTGAGCGTCAGATGGCTAACTTGAATAGGTTTGTTTCTTGTTGATTCGCCGATTAAGGTTGTGCTTGAAACTGGGAAATCACACAATCGCTATAATGCCAAACCCTTACATGGTGGCTACGAAGACTTCAACCCACCGCCAGTATTCTCCTCATTCTCGCTTGATGTAGAAAAGAATTTAGACTGCAATCGGTCAATGGCTGGCGGCATACTCCGCCACTTCATGACACCTCCAGTATTCTCACCCATCTCACCCCAAATCCTTAGCATTAGCTACTACGCTCTTCGAGTGAGCCTATCTGAATGGCTGCTCTATACGCTCCTCATAAGTCGATACTGTAAGCACTATGAGTACTCCCTCAACGACATCTCCACAAGGCTCCATGACGATGATATCATTGATCTACAACGCTGGCGGCGTCGAACCAAACAAAGCCGCCAAAAGCTGGAAATCCTCGCACACTTCATCGAGTACTGGGGACAGGGACTAGACAAACAGGCCGGGAATATAATGCTGAAGGACATACAGTATATCCAGAAGCAATTGGATGATTATAGCCGGTCACTGGAGCAGATGCTCACGGTAGCAACCTCGATGGTACAGCTGCTCGACTCACGCCGTGCGATTCTTGAGGCTGTGAGCGTCAGGCGACTAACGTATATCGCACTTATTTTTGTGCCATTATCCTGGGTTTCAAGTTTGTTTAGCATGTCAGACACGTACTTGCCGGGGCATAGCCGGTTCTGGGTGTATTTTGCTGTGGCAGTTCCGTTGGTTTTTTCATGCTTCCTCTATGAGGCCTGGCCTATGGTTAAGTCTTATAGTATAAGAAGGCCTTAAATTATGCCCAGTAAGTAACATTGTACGATAAAATAAGCCGAATATAACTTTAATACTATTACTATTGCACCTTGACTCTTGAGCCTAAGACTTTAAGCCCGGATAAGTGGAATTGCTACGAATCTCTACGTCTTACAGGCCATGAATACATACCAAAAACCCGAATTCAAATATATAATCATCATTAATACACTCTAGGTTATGGGCAGTTATTGTTCCCTATTATTCTGTGTTCTAGTAGTGTTTGTGCAGATATTGCAATAAATGTAAGCCAGACGGGAGAGCTGCCTAAGGGAGCTTTTTTATTGTCACATAATTTCATTCTATCGAGATGTCGGGTCTGGCATCTTTCGTGGTTGTTTGAACTTTCGTATTACTGCACGTTTACATAGAAATTATTTCGTTTACTATTTATAGCGTAAACTTCTTTGTTAAATTGCAGTATATCCTTGTTCGTTTTCGATATTGAAATTGCTCTCAGTTTCCCTCTCCTTTTCGATATCATCCTCCAGCTGAAGGTATGCGAGGTCATATGGAAGCAGATGTGTTAGAGTCAGCTAGAACTGATTCCAGTCTACGGGACCACAGCTCCGCATTCTCGTATTCGAAGTCATTAAGGAACGACGAGATTAGACCTAGAGACATAATTTTCCTACTGCGATGTGGAGGTCTAGGCATCCAGACTCACGCGGCGCACACAAACTCAAGTCACGTGCTTCCTGTTTGTTGTCACAAACCTAAGGCCAACTTCTCCAGGCGCGAGAATTTCATCACTGAGGCCTGTCACCATCTTCCATTCTTACATGACCCAAATGAGGTAACTTGTTTTGCCAAGTCACCTATCCGGGGAGCTGATCAATTCTCTGTTCCTCACGAAATCAAGGTAGTCGAATGGTCTCGGCCACGATGCGAGTAATTCCCCGGGTTCGATTATCTTTCAGCATCACGGCACAGTACCAATCGCGAATGCCACGCAACTTCTCCCCGTCACCGCACTGGAATAATCGAATCGCGCATCAAACCCGTCCGATTACCACGTCATCAAAACCCAGCGACCCGGTTTCGTCAATCGGCGAGATCAGGCAACGTTGCGGGCTGATGTTCAGCAGAGATGATCTTCAGCATATTATCGCCTGGGTTGGTCTTTTCGGTTCATTCTCACGTCATACACAAACCCCACTGAGCGATGTCGATCTACTCGTGGGTTTCAAGAAGGACGCATTGGAGGATGATATATACTTTATGGGAGACTTGACACGAGAGTTGAAAGGCGTGCTTGAGAGAGATGTTGATGTGCTCTATATGCGTTATCAACAACCCCCAAACTTCATCAATTGCCAGGCTTTGGTCACCGGCACAACGGTGTACGGTTCTAATGAATGGCTGCAAGACAACCAACCTCGGGCAGAAAGACTGCTCTCGGACACTCGAACCAGATTTGTCAAGGCTTTGCGTTTAATGAAGCAAATGACTGGAAGCCTAGCGCCTCTTTCCCAGAAGGTAGGATCAGACATCTTTGACTTGCCAGGAGCCAATACTAACGGAGCACCATGATTAGGAGCTATTCACATCCCCCTCTTTCTTTGCTGACCTGATCGGCAATTTGAAGAAACTGCTTCATCTACTCTACTCAGAAGACCGAGATGCTGCAGGAATAAATAACTATTTTGATATTCTTTATGAATGGACAGAGCCGCTTCCTCAAATCATTCAGCGGTACCAAATAGGAGGCCTCGAGTCATTAGACGGAGAGAGCCGAGAGCGCCTTTGGCGCCTTTTGACTACAAATTTGCCAGACCGTGCTCGCTCGCTCCAGATTATATATCTGCTTATTGTCCAAGAAGTCTTTGATACGAAAAAGGCACAATTGGATTCTTTCACGATGGAATAGAATAGCTGCTTGTCGCGTCATATCACTCTGTGAAAGGAGAATGTTAATTAGAGAGAACACCAAATTAAAGGCTGGCAGCATCTGAAAATTAGAAACGGTCCTAGACAAACCAACTTAACTGGTAATATAACATAACATCACTATACCGACATTGAGAGGGCAAGTCGTTGCTTTTTTTGTACAGTCAGTGCTGCACAGCCGTATAATAGTTGATATACAGTAGTATAAGTGCCAAGGATTTCACATGCTAGCCCTTAAGCCTTTCCTTTGGACAGCCAACACATTCAACCTCATTCCTAGGTATGTTGTGAGAAAGTCCCCCTTTAACAGAGCCAGACGAATATTGCGATGAAGGAAAATCTAAGACGGCTGACCCCATAGAATTCGCTGATTTCTACCACATCCTTAGGGCCGGCCTTTTGTCCACTAAAAGCCATGATGCAAAGCATAATTTGACAGTAGTTTTTTTCACAATGTTCACCTATTTGTGAAAATGTTGTTCTAGTGATTAACGCGTTTGAGAGGACAAAGACCTAGAGTGGGTAGCAGTTTCTCTTTTGCCATCAGTATGAAGACCAGGACCAACACATAATGAACAAGCAATTCCACAAGGAAGTGTAGCTTCTGGACGCTTTAGTAAGACACTGTTCATTGCTACATGTAATCTTATGAACTATTTTACTTAGCTTTATCTTGCTTCCTAAGTAGATATTATTAGCCTGATCTTGGGATAACTTAACCATAATTACGCAGAAAAAGTCATTGCGGCCTTGATTTAGCAATAAATACTTCTTTATCACCTGCTACTCACCTAATCACCTATAAACTCTAGCTAAGTGGAAAGAACAAAGTTTTTGCATGCCCAACATACAACGATGAAATCCCTCTTCTTGGCGTCTATCTCGTCCATAAACTCCAAGTTGCCATCCTTCTCAGTCGCAGCAACCGTCCCATCTTCATCAATCCATGACAACTCCTTGGATCCCTTGTTTGGACCCTCTTGCACGGTCAGCAAGAGCTTCTTCTTCCAATCATCGCTGTCACGGTACCCGCGCTTGTGCATGAGCGCCTGCATCCTCTCCTCCTCAGCTTGCGTCGCAGCACGTCTGATGGGAATCATGTGGAAGAACTTGTATGACCGGCTAGACTTTTCCATCAAAACACTTCCTTGGACGGTGCCCTGCTTCTGTCCTCTTACGACGAGGAGGGGCTTCGTTCCGAGGCTGATGGGGATGTGTATCTTTTCGCCGGAGTAAATGGTCAGGTCATCGTCGTATTTGACAAAAGGCTCGGGATCCCCACTGCTCGAGGCTGCACTCAGTCGGCGGGCATCGTTGGGCAGGAGACGGCAAATTTGCAGCTGCCATGGGTTGCCGGTTTGTGTGTTGCGGGTAGAGATGTGATAGGTTGGGGTGATTGAGGTGGCGGTTGTTTTGTAAACATAGCGGCCTTGCAAGTTGAAAGATTGCTTGTTTCCCTGTGATGGTTCTGCCGCTAAATAAGGCGAGTTCAGCCGAAGAGTCGTTGTGTTGTCGAATGCTTGGCGAGGGGGTTCGCCAGAGCTACTTTCCGTGAGACTGGTCTGGCTCATTTTCGTACTTGGGTGATTGATTATGTGGTGATTGTTTAGAAGAAGAGACGAAAGAGATGGAAGAAGCCTAATGGAAGTTGAGAAGCAGGTCTTGTAACGAATCAACACCACATATATAAACCTAGAGACTCGTGCGGGGTAGTAGGTGCAGTTCAGGGCAATTCTTCGATGCTTGTTCATCGGTCCAGCAACTAAGGGTGCGGGATTAACATTGAAAGTTCGATGGGTGGCTAGACTCGGTTACGACGGCAATGGCCCTGTCTGAATTTGTTCTACATTCATGTCAATTGTCTTCTGCTGCTATGGACGAGCAATAGGTACTTTTGCAATTGAGTGTTTACATAACCTTACCAGGCGGCTTCTTGGGTGGAGTTGCCAAGGCCTTGCATCGCCCGGCTACTGTGTCGGTCTCACTCTAATGTTCGGGACCGAGATCATATCAGTTCCGAGTCAGAAATGGCGCATATAACTCGCATGAATTCTCGAAAGAGGAAAGATGGGCTACTGAAGGGAGTCTGGAATGCTTGACGAGGTCACATAAAACTTAGTAGACTTGTATGCATAGTGCACGTGTTAGATCCCTGAAGCTAGGAGGAAGAGCATATAATTACCTTGTTCGGTATGCGATTCGAATTAGACCAGGGACGGACAAAATCCCCCGGTGATAGACCCCACCTGCATTATGTCTTCTCCGTGATGTTTCCGGATCATAGCGCCACGAGCAAAGAAGATGGCTGAAGCGGGTCTTGCAAGTTTATTCCCTTCACGGCACCCATAAACGCTTCTTTGTCGCCATCTAACGAGTGTTGAACGTATCATCCTGTTTCCCAACATTCAAATAAAAGATTAATGAACCCGGGTATATTTCACTATGTCACCGTCGGTGGAAATATTGTAGCCTGCCTTGTTGCAGATCGTTTCCAATGATTCAATCAGAACCCAGGACTTTATCGCTTGAAGCTGAAACGCGAGATGAAGCCTCTATTATCAACTTACAGGCTCTTTTCAATATCGGTGGTGACTTGGTTTGGGTTGATTAGAGAGTGCCTATCCTTAGGATCCCGAACCGGTCCACCACCATTGATCATCGGACATCTCTTTTACCAAGTATATCATCAAAGAGTGATGAATAACGGCCTTAGCACTGACCCCATTCTCAATGATTCTTTGATGTATATCTACTATTTGGCGAGTGGGCGGAGGTGGTGGGCGGAACGGTATAAAACATAAAAAAAATATGACAAAAACTTCAAAAAGACAGGTTTCTTGCGTAATCTGGGAATCGAACCCAGCCCTAGTGCTTGGAAGGCACCAATCCTAACCTGAAACGATGTTAATCACCGGAAATGGACATGCGGGTGAGATAAGTAACTTACCACTAGACTAATTACGCTGCTTGGTTGTTTGGTAATGGCAGAATCTCGACTATGTAGTGGAGAACTTTTCAGACATTCGCTACGGGACTTCGGGTTAGAGGACACAAGCCGAACAATACTGATCCAGGATCAAGAGTGGTCTACATTAGCGACAGGACCCGGTTGAAGACAATCATGTTGAATCTAGCTACTGCTATAGATGAGACTGACTCATGGCTCCCCACAGAGTATGTGCAAGTAATTAAGAGGCTCACCATCTGCAAGATTCCAACAGATGCTTTGATTTCTACCTGAATCCTCGTGGTCGATTTGCCATGTTCCAATGTGATGCACAAACATGCTGGGAAGTTGCCAAACCTATACCACGAATATGGCACTGTTCACATTCATTTTATACCCCAGCGACGGGGCGCCCAGGTCCAGATTCATCTCACCAACGAGCAAGTTATCCACTTGCACTATTTGTTATAATTTAACCCAGGGAAGACCTGGTTTTGTGTTTTCAAAGAAAGACGAGTTCTCCTTTGCATCAAAGGATATAGATCAGGCTGTATCCATCCTAGTTCGGAAAGGCAGCACATTCGCTGCCCGATGATGCCCAGTAGGCTCGCACTTAGATGTTGATCAATCTTGCATGGGTTTTGAATTTCCGGCACACTTGATCCGATTACGATGGCGGCATAAACATGGCCCCAAAGTGTACACAGATGCTTCTGTGCTCTTGTGTTGCAACGGGTTGAGCTTAGCTTTATGTTCAGAGCAACTCACTGCTACCTCGCTAGACCAGACCAATCTACCCTGCGAATTCCTCAGCAGGGTTACGCTTTATCTCTCCAAAGGTGAGCTTCGGGACCATTATCCTTCCGACTTTAATCGTGAAAGCCTAGACGCTTTGCTTAATTTCTCTGATGTAATTCGCCGACGGTAACGCATGGACGCTTTTAGTAGATTGATCAAGAAGAATAGTAAAATATCTTCGAATTTGGAAATATCTTTGCTCAAGCAACATCTCCAATCATTTATGCAGAGATCGTTACGGATAACTAGCTCAATAGATCTGCTAGACTTGAAGGTAGAATCAATTGTATAAAACGTACAGTTATAACTCTATACAAGTAAGGAGAAGAGAGATTTAGTAGTACCTACCTTACAATAGACTGAACTTTACCTGGACCATCATATACGTAGGGTAGGATCCAGCACGTTGGCAATCACAACTACCTAGGATAAGTTGGTTTAGATATTGCGACAATGCAAAGCACATCTTTGCCAACAGGAACAATGGAAATGGGACAGGACATTGACAACCCATCCCCTATAGGATGCACATCCATGCAGAGTCTAAGTGTCGAACGTTCACTCTCGCCGCTTCTCAAGAGAGGATTGGCTAGCTGTGCGCCGACCGTTGATTACTGCTACAACCGCGACCCTTGTTTGAATCGCCGACCTCAGAACGCTAAAATAAACTATTGCTTGGTAGATAATTAAAGTTTATAGATAAGGTGAAGGAGACATATTCCGGTTCGGGTATCTGGAATAAACAAGGGTCGGGTATACCGCGCGATCCTGTGATCCAAATCAGGGCTCTCCAGTGCTGGGATTATTATGTAGATGCTGGTGAAGCAAGAATCTTCCGCAGTACCGTACCTGGCGTATAGAATGGATTTGCCTCTTCGAGATAGATGCTTGTCAGCTTATACGAGCCGGCCGCTTCTATCCAGGATCACTTTGAAATTATAAGTATGCCCTTTCCTACTGCCCGCCTGTTGCAGTCTTGTCTTTCGCCAACCAAAGATCCGTCCCGATACTCAATATGCATTTCGTTAGGATTGTCTTCTCCCTCTTTGCTCTGTCCAGCCTCACCTCTGGCGATTATGTCCATCCCACTGTCGTCCAAGCTATCCGCGATACTGCAGAATATCGCAACTATGTTGCAGCCCGCGATGTTTTCAAGGAGACCCGCGCCCTATTCAGTCGTGTAAGCGAGCCACTGTACCCGCTTCCCGTGCTGAATTCTAATAGCGTATAATATTTAGAAATATAACGAGCGTGCATGTTTGGAGTTCTCCGGCGTACTGAAATGCTATCTTGATGACCGGCACAAAATCTGTGGCTGCGGAGCAGGGAAGAAAAAAGGCAACGCCTGCAAGTGTCCGTAATAGAATGCTTCTGCGGATGTATTAGTGTAAGTGCTCTGGCCAACGGGCTAGTGATACTTACTGGCTTGGTCGCCGAAAATCTTCGAGCTTGAAGTGCTGAAGTGCTTGGATTGGTTGATGTCCTTGGGTTAGTGTAAGACGAGTGTGAAGCCAGGTGAAAGACCCAGCTTTAATAGTTATTCGACAAGCCGCTATCCTGACGGCAAGTAAATATCCGTATGTGGCATTATCGTAAATACATCGATCCAATGATCCACAGGCCGGTCACTCTCGAGACATTACTTGATCCTATTGAGAGTAAAAACATCACTCTCTTTGGTGGTTTATTTCGTCCGCTCGTGAGAGCCGGCATGGCTCTCCATCCCCAAGCACCCCAGGCAGCACTACCCAATGAAGCACTCATTGACTTGCCACTCAAAATCATCCCTCACACAGCCTCTGTGATTGATTCATGCCAAAGTGCCGTTCCTTACCTCGAAGACGAGCCCCATTTCGAGTTTTACGACCGGATGTTCCCCGAGGACAAGGGGTGCCACGATATGCAGGGATTCTTACAGCTGGCTGATCGCTTCCGTCGCGAGCGAGATTTCTTTATGGCACTTTTAGCCATCATATACTCCATTAAACAGGACAAGGAGTCTCTCCTAACACGGTCGCGGGATTCGAATATGATCGCTATTGACCCTGAGCACCTAGACCTCAAGGATCCCACATGGCGAAATTTCCGTCTGCCATTTAATGAGGTTGCCACGAAGCATCACGGCATCCCGCAAATAACGAGACACGCGATGTCTGTATTCATCATTTTGCAAAGTGTCATGACCAAGAGAGCGTTCGGAGGTATCTGGAGATCCTCAAGCGGATTTATCCCAAGGATACATTCCTTAATACTTATTTCAAGATCCTGTTTGCTGCCTACCTATAAGACGCATGTACTAACGATTTAGAGATAAGATGATATAAAATGAGATTCTTAGTGTCACAAGCTTCCGGATTCTGGTTCTGCAAAAACTACTCTTCTAGTCAATTATCCGTATGGAACGTCGCCTCTTGCTTCAATAAGGGATGGCCCGTCTTCTCAGCGTTGATAAATGCGACAGCGAGTGGGGCATCGACTACAGCATCCAGATACCTAGGCCCAGCCCGTTTAATGCCTTGTGGTACCTTCTCCGCGAGACAAGGAGTGTCAAGAGTCAGACTGCCGTCGGCATAGTCGGGTTTGACTTGTGGAACTACGAAACCAAGGCTAGTGCTAAGCTGAACAGCAACTGGAATGTCTGACGCATGCGCATCAGTAAACAGGAAGTCAATACACATGTGAATCTGGCTCAAGAAAACCTAGATAAGTATCAATTAACTTCTTAGCTGCTAGATGTAGTTACTTCTTGTCGAAAGTCAAAGGAAGAATGAGACGTCTTCTTAGTTTAACAGCCCAAGACAGGGAACAAGATGGGCAATACTGAGAAGATTGCCCCTTCCTCTTGTTCCTTTACTCTGGGGCCAATTACAGTTTTGGTGGTTTTCATAAGGGTTGAATAGATGATGGATGGGTGTGTAGCAGCATAGGTGGATATCAACAAAGATAAACAATGGCTAACGTCTGAGAACTGACGTAACTTTAGTGGCGTAGCACCTTGATGTAACCTACCTGCCATGTAACCTGCCGGACTTCTTACATCAGGCGAGTTTGAGTAGTCTACATCATGGTCCAGGGCGTAAGATGAGATCAACTGTCGCTGAAGCCAAACAGAATGCAGGATTTCGGAATACTTCATACTACATCGACAATCTCTACTAAGCAACTATACATTCAGGGCGCTTTTATTAGTCAGACTATTTCCGAGCACACCTTCGTGGCCGGCGAAGCTTGCTGATCTCACCACAGGGCTGTAGAAGTTCCAAAACGCTTATTTAAGTGTTCTGGACCCAAGAATCTACTACTACCCTGCCTTTCCCACACAACTATGCGCTCATGTAGTTTGATCAATTGATTGTTTGTAAAATTCGCAGACGTATCGAAAATGGGTGAGCAGAAGAAGACTTTTCAACCCTCATTCTTTGAGCGCATCGGAATCTCAACCTTCCACCTCATCAACAGGGTGGTGCCATGGTTCAAGCTTCCGACATTCCTTGGAGCGATTAATCTCGCATTTCTGAGGATTGAGCTCCGGGGCTACAACCTACACGATGGTTACGCGTCTGCGTCTGAGCAAGGGTCGCCGGGTGATACTCCTATGATGGATGAGCGTTTCCAGACAGCTCGAAACTCGGATGGCCAGTTCAACTCGCTGGAGCAGCCTCGCATGGGATGCACAGGAATGCGATTTGGTCGCAATTTTCCCCGAGAGCACTGTCAGAAACCAACTGAGGAGGAACTGTGGTTCCCGAACCCGCGAATCATTAGTGAGAAATTCATGGCACGCAAAGAGGGTGGGTTCATCCCGGCGACGACACTCAATCTGCTCGCGGCTGCTTGGATTCAGTTCCAGACGCACGATTGGTTCAACCACGAGCTCGACCACGTAAGTAAACATGGCCATATGACAACACGAGGAAGAGAGCTTAGCGCTAATCTTTTTCTAAGGAGAATGAGCCTCACGATATCCCACTCCCTCCTGGCCACTCCTGGCAGGGGAAGATGACGTTGCCGAAGACCAAGCCAGATGAGATCCTGGACCCTTCAGATGTGAAGTGTCCTGGCTACAAGAATGTCAACACGGCGTGGTGGGATGGGTCACAGATTTATGGATCTACGGAAGAGGCAACACGTGCGCTCCGAACATCACGGCCCGACGGCAAGCTAGAGCTCGCGGAGAACCGCACCGGGGCTTTCATACCAAGGGACAAGGATGGAAATCCACGTACTGGATTTAGTGACAATTGGTGGGTTGGCATGGAGATGCTGCATACCCTTTTCGCCCTCGAGCATAACGCCTTGTGTGACATGTTCCAAAAGGCCTATCCAAAATGGACTGGGTACGTGAAGGAACCCATATTGACAATATATATAGCTAACACTAACCGCACATTAGAGATCAGATCTTTGACAAGGCTCGGCTGGTTAATAGCGCATTGATGGCAAAGATCCACACCGTAGAATGGACGCCTGCTATTCTTGCACACCCAATCCTGGAACTTGGCATGAATGCGAACTGGTGGGGCCTTGTGGGAGAGAAACTTACCAAAATGCTAGGACGAATTTCCAAGAATAGTGAGATCATTTCTGGAATTCCAGGATCTGGCGTGGATCATGATGAAATCCCCTTCAGCCTCACTGAGGAGTTCATCTCGGTATACAGGATGCACTCTTTGCTACCAGGTAGGCATCATCTCATCTCCAGACAATATACCGATAGCTAATATAGATCAGACAACATTGCATTCTTCGAAGCCACGCATGGAAAACATTACACCACAACGCCTCTCGCAGACCTGACTTTTCAGAACGCGCAGAAGCCGCTTGAATCAGGTATTTCGTTCGGAGACCTCTTTTACTCATTCGGGATCAACTATCCAGGAGCGATCACAAACAACAATTATCCTAATTTCTTGCGCGACCTTCACACTCCTGATGGCCTCCATAGAGATATGGGAACTGTAGATATTGTGCGTGATCGTGAGCGTGGTGTCCCACGATACTGCGCTTTCCGCCGCATGCTGCGTTTGAGCGTGCCCAAGACCTTTGAGGAGCTCACGGGTGGCAAAAAGGAGCTCGCGGAACAGCTTTCAGAAGTGTACAGCGGAAACATCGAATTAGTTGATGCCTTGGTGGGATCCCACAGCGAGCCTGTCATCCCCGGGTTCGGTTTCAGCGAGACGGCATTCCGTATATTCATCGTCATGGCATCACGGCGTCTGAAGAGTGACCGATTCATCGCCGGACAATGGAATGCAGAAATGTACACCAAAGAGGGTCTTCACTGGGTGCAACATACGACGATGAAGGATGTACTGATTAGACACTTCCCAGAACTGGAAGATACCCTGAAGAACAGTCAGAATGCGTTTGCGCCCTGGGAGATGAAGCCTGATTCGAAGAATTACCAGGGTATCGAGACGAATGCGAAGAAAACCTAGAGGGCTTTCTTGCCACTTACTTTCATCTGTTTTGTCCATCTATTATCCAAGTATTCGCCTTTGGCGGCTTAAGAGCGGCTTAAACCATTAAAACTTAGTCTTAGGAAGATTTAGAGTTGCTTGATTAAGTTGTCAAACTAATTGCAGCTCTTCTGGGCTAAAACCACAACTTAATAATCTCACTTGTGTGTCCAAAATGGCTTCTGATCATATCATTATTCAATCATGTTGGGCTTTTAATCCGATATTGCTGTCAGTGTACTACGGAGGATCCAATTTTGAAATTTCACAAACCGCTAACTCTATGGATGCAGCACCTGAGACAGCTTTTCAGCAGCATACTTTCCAAGCACCTGTATAGTTCCCATACCCAGCATCTCCAGCACGCTGATATCCAAGCCCAGTGTCTGCTTCCACCAGAGCCTCATCTCGATAGCCACGAGGGAGTCCATTCCAATATCCGCCAAGCCGACCTCGAGATTGAGCTCGTCGGCGGGAATGAACAGCAAACTCAGCACCTTCAGTCCGATGGCACGGGCGAGGAGGTCGGCTGCTTCAGGCGTGCTCAGGGCGTCCGGGTTCTCACGGGCTTGGGACAGGAACCCCTTGATACCATCGCCCACGTCACCGGCGCCGGCGCCTGATCCACCATCAGACTCGTTGCGATAGACAGCGAATCGTGGGTCTCGACGCCAAGGGACGCGGCAGTTGGGGCTGGTCAGAGGCAGCAGGCTCCTGATACCCAGGGCAAAGGTACGGGGATCGGCTGAGCCATCCCAGGACAGTGCACGCGGGGACGCAGGAGCGGTAGCCGCCGTCAGGGCATCCAAGATGTCAGTTTCCCGGAGGGCGTGGTAACCCGTTGCCTTCATCTGGTGGATGAGCTCAGCACTCTCAGAAACATATCCGACACCAAAGACGGCACCTAGAGCTATGGTAGACGCCTCGAGACCGAGACCCGCACGGTACTGCACGAAGGAATCTAGGAAGCTGTTGGCACTGCCGTAATTGGCCTGTCCCATGTTGCCAATGATGCCAGAGATGGAGCTGAACATGACGAAGAAGTCGAGTTCAGCGCCGGACTCAATCGCCTGGTTGTGGAGGTTCCAAGTTCCCTGGACCTTGGGGCCAACAGCTGTGTGCCAGTCATCCCAGGTCATGTTGGCCCAGGCCTGGTCACGCAGAAGCATTGTCATGTTGATGATGCCCTTGAGAGGAGCGTTGTCGCCGGCCGCCTTGATGGCCTGCGCAACGACGCTTTGCTCCGTTACACTCCCGGGAACGAGCTTGACGGATGCTCCCATGGTCTCCAGCTCGCGGGCGAATGCGAGATCCTCAGGCTTCCCGGCACTGCGGGAGAGGAATACAAGGTTGCGGGCCCCGTGTTCTATAAGCCAGATAGCCACTGCCCGTCCAATTCCACCGAGTCCCCCTACCAGGAGATAGGACGCAGCATGTGCAAAGACAGGTGTCCTCCTCCGGTCTGAGATAGCAATATCTTCGTGGATAGTGCCGTCCACGTTCCGTAGCTCGATTGCAACCTTTTCAATCTGCTGCTCGCTCTTCTGGACGAGCTCGAACGCGTCTTGAATCTGAGTGGCGGGATATACTGTGACGGGTTGAATTGGGAGGATTGCCCGTTCCTCAAACAATTCGAGGACGGAGCGGAGAAGCCTGTTTATGTCAGTCGTTCCTCAGTGAAAAGAGAAAAATTAACAATACAACTCACCTTTGAATGATGACAGGCTTCGTTGACTGTAGACGATTCCAATCAATGTGGTGGAAACTTCGGTTCGGCCTCGCAGCATCCCCAATGTCGTTTCCAATGCTGATATGTCTGCCGAGTTCTGCAACGGTATCCCAGCTTGCCTGGGCCAGTTCACCCGAGAGGGAGCTCAGCACCAGGTCTACTCCCTCTCCGCTTGTCTCACGTAATATGCCATCTCGGAAGGAGACATCCTTGGAGGAGAAGATCCTGTTTTGAGGGATATTCCAGGAGCTGTGTAGATACTCGATCTCCTCTTTAGAGCCAGCTGTAGCATAGATCTCTGCACCAGCGTGCCGTGCCACCTGAAGGGCTGCGAGTCCAACTCCGCCTGCTGCGTCATGGATCAGAATAGACTATATGGCTACTGTAAGCTGATGCACACGAAAAAAAGCTCGAGAAGTTTTGTTTCCTTACCTGCCCACGCTCCAACTGGCCGATGTGCTTTAGAGAGTAGATGGCAAGGCCATACGCCGAGGCGAGCGTAGCAGCATCATTAAAGCTGAGGTTATTAGGGATCCGGATCACTCGCTGAGCCGATTCCGTAACCGTAGTTGCAAGAGTCCCATGGCCCAGGAGAATCACCCTGTCGCCGGCCTGCAGATGTTGAACTTGGGGTCCGACGTGCCGAACAATTCCTGCAGCTTCATGGCCAAGGAACGGACTGCTCGTGTCGATGCTACCGGTAGCAATGCGAACATCCTAATCCAGACTGTCAGTACGATTGAATCTAGCAAGGGGAAAAGGTAAATTCTTACTCTTGAGTCCAACGCAGAAGCGTAAACGTCCACCTGCACTTCGTTTCCCAGGGGCTTCTTGGTCTCCCGGCGAGACCACTGCAGCTCTGCCTGGCGGCCGGAGCGGCTCGCAGACAGCGCAACGGCATCACCCACATCTGATGTGAGTAGCAGGTCAGTCAGAACGAAGGGGAACAGTCGTCCAACCTTTACAACCCCCTCATGAAGAGCATACTCCATCTCAGGAGTGAGGATCTCGTCCTCTGCATCTCTGCTTTGAAAATGCGCAAAGATGTCTAGCAGCTTGGACGTATCCTTGGTTGAGTCTGCATTGCCATCTCCGGAGTAGACCACGCCGAAGTGCATGCCTGTCTCGCTGCGGACGACGCGGGCCAGTCCGAGGATCTGAGCATACCGCGGATCCTTGGCTTGGATGGGTGAGGCTGGAGTGACCCAGAGTAGGCCAGATCTATCCAGTTGGTCCATGAACGCTTTGAGTTTATCAAAGTTGTCCTTGGTGATATCCGTGAGGAAGGGTCCCTTGGCATCGAGCAGTGAGATGACATCAACACCCGGCTCCGGAACGTCCTCGAGTGTGGAGCGTGTGATGCTATATCCCCTCTCCTGCAGCCCCTGGACCACTGGACCGAGGTCAGACGAGGCATCTCTGGCTAGAAGCGTGATTTTCTTGAGCGCAGGAGTCTTCTTGGCAGGTTTAGCAATGAACAAGGCGTTCAGCTGTCCATCTTCCACCACCGGCTCTGGAACGTCGAACCCGGCGGCTAGTAGCTCGTTCTGCCACCTCTCCGTGCTCGCGTAGGGCTCCTGGACGCGACTGTCATCCGCCCCCTGCCACCATTCAGGCTGTAAACCGCGAACAAAGTTGATCCACTTGCTGCCCGAGCTGGGATTGAGCTCTTGCAAGAGCAGGCGACCATCCGGATGGAGCATTTTCCGCACGTTTGTCAAGCTCTCCTGGATATTCTTTGTCTCGTGGATCACGTTGATAGCAATGATGAGATCATAGCCATCCTCTTCAAAGCCCTGCTCTGCAAGATCTTTGCCGATGTGAAGAGTGGCATAATCGACATTCGAGTAAGCTTCGAGCTTCTCTTTGGCCGAAGCGAAGAGGCTTGTCGAGGAGTCGGAGAAGGTGTACTTGGAGTATTGAGAGCCGAGATGCTTGAGGATCTCCTGGGCGCTGGAGCCGTCCCTGGCGCCAAGATGCAACACGCGTAGGTTAGGCTTGGTGTGTGCCAGATGTTCCAGGAAGTCTGATATGTCGTACTGGTCCGCGTAGGCCTGCAGCTGAGTCAGGATGTCATCTTCTTGTAGCAGATCTGAGACCTCAAGTTGTCCATCGAAGATGTCCACCAGAGCCGTAGATATTTTTGCCAAGGCTTGAGCGGCATAGATGGCCGGGGTGTCTCGGAGGCTTTCCACCAGAGCTTGGATCTTCTCACGAGGATCTTGCTCGTTGGCGTCGGAAGAGCCTTGGTGCTGTTCAGCCTGTGACTGAAGCCATGCTTGATACAGCTTTAGATGCGGCAGACTGGTCTCCTTATCGGCAACCCGGCTGTGTGCGTAGAGCAAGGAGGCTTGGTATATGTCATCCAGGGTCTTGGAGTGCGCTCCGTAATCAAGAGAAGGCTTCAGAACATCCTTGGCGAGGAGGAAATCTACATGTGGCTTCCAGACATGGCGAGCCGCGGCATGGGTGTCAGCTGGTGCAGGCTCGTTGAGAAGGGCCAACTTTGCACCAGACATGCGCATGACCACTTGGCCGTCCGCGACAGCTTCTGCAGTCCCCAGCACGGAGCCCTTGCCGACAAACGCGGCAGAGGCATTGACAATGACATTCGAAGAAGTGCGGCGGATGGTCAGTTCCTCGATGCTCGTCGCAAGCACCTGTTTCGACTTGCGTACGAGACCAAGCGAGGCGCCGCAAGATAGGAGCTGAAGGGAAGCATCAACAATGGTTGGGTGTAGGTGGTAATTGGACACGTCAGTTTGCTTGTTGTTCTGGATGAGCGCAGAAGCGAGACCTGGCTTTGTCGTCGAAGTCCGGATCTGCTCTAGCCCCTGGAAGTGAGGGCCATAGTCGACGCCAGCCTCACGGATGGCAGTGTACCATTTCTCGGACGAAAGCGGCCGTGGCAGCTCGGCGTCATCAACCGTGGAGACGCCGAGGTCTTCGACAAGGCTAGATACTTCGCCGGTGGCATGTTTGGTCCACGCGTGGCCGTTGTGGGATGTGATGCTGAACTCCCACCACTGACTGTCCGTGGCGCTGTCTAGACGCTTCCTCCGCAGAGTCGTGATGATCTCGGTGGGCTTTTCGTCCGAGACTACCATGGCTGTACGCACAAGGAACTTGCGGATTTGAAATCCGGTGTCGACGCCGCTCGTCTGTCGGATGGCCTCGCCGGCGATGGCAATGTAGCACGCAAACGGGAATACCACATCATCCTGGACCTTGTGGTCGCGCACCCATTCAGCGTTGCTGAGAAGGAAGTTATTGCGCCAGACGGGCTCCAGATCGCTGCTCTCTACGGTCTTGAGTCCGAGAAGATCGTGATGAGGGTACTTCGGAAACCGCCATTCCTTAGTCACGCGCGTCTCGTTCCAGTGACTGGCCGAGTGGTTCCAGGAGTAGCGTGGCAGGTCTCGAAGAGTGGAATGATCTTCATCTGGGTAGAGAGAGGCAAAGTTTACCGGATAGTTGAGAGCCCACAGCTTCCCGACAGCAGAGAGCAGTGTCTCTGTGCAGCTCTGGCCGCGCACCATAGCCGCGACATATGGAGCCGCTGCCGCGCTGGATGTTTCTGCGACGATCTGGCGAAGGGGCCCGGCAAGCGCTGAGTGAGGTCCGATCTCGAGGAACGCCGTGTTCTTGCCGAGGACTGGATGTTGTAGGATATGTGAGACGGCACTTCGGAAACGCACCGGAGACTCGAGGTTCTGTTGCCAGTACCTGACACCGAGCTGCTCGTAGGCAGGGAGGAGCTTGCCATGCACACTGGAGAAGAAGGGCTTCGAGGGAGATTTGCTGAAGACCTTGTCACCGACCAGATCGACGTATTGCTCACCAACTTCCGCCATGTGGTGGGAATGATAAGCTTTGTCAACTTGGAGGAGTCTTGCCAGTGTGTCTGGCTTCTTCTCCTTGATATTCTCCACGACCGACTCCACTGCCTCTGCGTCTCCAGACAGCGTGACACTGCGAGGGGAGTTGTCGCAGGCGACAGTTACGCCGGGGACAAGGAACTCGGTGGCCTCGTGCCAGCCAAGGCCGATGGCAGCCATGCGTCCCTTTCTCGTCTGCTTAGCAGCGCTGATGCCTCGGTAGTAGGCGACAGTAATGGCCTCCTGGGCTGTCAGAGCGCCTGATGCATAAGCTCCTGCAATTTCTCCACTAGAATGCCCGACTACGGCTTCAGCCTCGATTCCAACGGCCTGGAGCGCGTCCACGAGCGCGACTTGGATAGCTGTACACAGTGGCTGCGACAGCTCGGCTTCTCCAAGACGGCTGGTCTTGGTTGGCTTGCGCAGTTCAGCTTCGATCGTCCAGTCGGGGCTGTCAGCTCCCAGTCCTTTCAAGGTCTCATCTAATAACTTGATAGTTGCCTTGAAGACGGGATTGTTGCGGAGGAGGTCGCGACCCATCTGCGGCCACTGGGCACCCTGCCCTGTGAAGACAAAGATGAGCGTTGGCTGCTGGGTGTTCTTTGTTCCCGCAGAGACTGTCCCAGGCTGTTCCTTGCTGGAGACGGCGAAAGAGCGATACGGGAGGTGCTCGCGCCGCTGAGCGAGGGTATAAGCCAAGTCGCCGATGCGCTCCGAGTACTTGCTAAGGTACTCGGTGTGAGATTTGACCACTCCTTCCAGCGAGTCAGGAGAGTTGGCCGAATACAGCAGAAGTTGCGGTGTCTCTGGGCCATCGTCCTCTTCCGTCTCAATGCTATGGTGTGCGGCAGATTCGAGGATGACGTGCGCATTCGTACCTCCAATACCGAAGGAATTGACACTGACTCTCTCGGCTCGATCACGCGGCCACGGGGTCGGGTCTAGGGGCAGTTGCAACTTGGCTGACTCCCAGGGGATGTTTGGGTTGGGCGAGGAGAACTTGATATTTGGCGGGATGGTGCGGTTTTCAAGGGCAAGGACTGCCTTGAGCACCGAATTGAGGCCTGAAGCCCCCTCAGCGTGGCCCAAGTTGGGTTTGATAGACCCGATGTAGATTCCACGATCGCCGAAGACTCTACCAACAGCCTTGGTCTCAACGGGATCACCGACGGGTGTACCCGTGCCATGGCACTCAATAAATGCCGTCTGGGAGAAGTCCTCAATCCCGGCAAGCTTGTATGTATGTCTCATCAACGCCTCCTGGGCGTAGGTGCTCGGGTACGTGAACCCTGGTGTCTTGCCGTCGTTGTTAACGGCACTGCCACTGATGACGGCTCGAATAGGGTTGCCGTCCTGGATCGCGTGTCGTAGCGACTTGACGTAGACAGCGTTGATAGCCTCACCTCGGGCATATCCGTTGCCGTCTGCTGAAAACGCCTTGCACGACCCATCTGGTGAGAGAACTCCCATCTCCACCAGTTTCGTGGTAGCGGATGGTGCCAAGATGAGGTTTGTACCACCGACGATGGCTGACCTGCACTGACCCTGTGAAATAGCGAGGCAAGCTTCGTTGAGAGCTACCAAAGAGGCAGAGCATGCTGTTCTGATTGTCATACTGTTCATTATTCTTAGCAACAAAGCTTTCCATAGATCTTGTGGCTTTGCAATCATACCTGGGCCCTTGCAAGTCCATTTCATATGAGATGCGATTGGAGAGGTTGAAATCAACATAACCAGTCAGACTGTAAGGAGAGAACTGCTGGGGATCTCTCTCCAGCATATCCAACCAGTCCTCGCCGAAGTTTCCCATGAAGACACCAATCTTCTTCCCTCTCCAATCCGTCTCACCAGCGTCTTCCAGAACCTCCCTGGCGACCTCGAGCATCTGCCGCTGTTGAGGGTCACAACGCTCCAGCTCCTTTGGCGACATTGTGAAGAAGGATGCATCGAGAGTTGTGAGGTCATTATCTAGGAAGTACCCATACGGGCAATGTGTGGTCCCAGGCTTGCCATTGTCTGAGAGATATGCGTCTATGCTGAACCTCGATTCGGGCACGCGGCTCTTTGCGTCGCCCTTGGCTAAGAGGAAGTCCCAGAGCTCGGCGGGGGAGTTGATTCCACCAGGGAGACGGCACGCCATGCCGCAGATGGCTATGGGCTCATATGTCTTTTCAGCCGCCGATACTGAGCCTGCACCGAGGGGGTCGGAAGACTCGCCATTGGTGCCGTTATCAAAGGAGGCATAGCTGTCTGAAGAAGGTGGCTGAGGGGCGAATGAGGGAAGACGGCCATCGTCAGAAGAAGCAGCGTGAGGAGCCATGGTTATCAAGAATACACAGCTCGTTGAGGGACGGTTCAAAGCAAGAAAGATGGTAGATGTTTGAGTTTCATGAGAAAACGGGATATGGCCGAGATACTACTTATGTACACGGCAACTATGAGCAGGTTCCTATGAGCCAGCCAAAGCAACCGACTTCACTTGCCAACTCACAGGCGTTTCTCTTCATCAGAAGACCATACATAGTGGTGGGGCGTGAGACCAATAGACTCTGTGGTCGCATCCTTCGGCGTTTGTAGAGACGACCCTGTGAGGCTCGTTGCTATAGTGTGAGAAGCTCGTCTGCCAAACCATACCAAATACGGTTGTATTGCGAGATCGCAGGGATTATTGCGAATCATACACGGCATTGCCTCAAACAACCTAAAAGGACTTCGGGGAATGCCCCTCCTTCCGTATGAGTTGAACGCTGATCTCAGAGACGGAACCCGTCATGCATTGTCAGCATGCTCCCTCGTCTCACCTGCACCCCTGGCGGTTCGTGTTCTGGCAGATGCGCCAGGGGTCTGGCCACTGGTACGAGGACTGATGCCTAGAATTTGGCAAACGGAACCCGTCTTGCATAACCAGGGTCTTCGTCTGCCGAAGAGAGGGATAACATGATGCACAAAAGCACACAAGTTTGGACTGAAAGCAACTTTTACTACCTCACGTATCGAGCCCCTCTCTCGTTTCACCTGCGCTTTTACGGAACCCGCCATGCATCTAGAAGAAACGCAAGTGAGCACAAGCTAAGCGCCGGTAGAGTTGGCGATGACACGACAGTCAAGTCGCCGCTAGACAGGAAGGATCAATAGATAAGCCAAATCAATGATAGAAATGTAGAGATATAACACGGTGCAGAGTCACGGCGTGTTTGATATGAGCAAGATCAACAAGTTGTTTGCTTGAGACAAACCAGTTTTCATTCCACTACCTCCAACTGCCATCTACAATTCTTGATCTGTGAGACAGTCACTATGGCTTCAGCAGCTACTCTCGCGTCCTGGTACCCCGATGGTACAGCCAAAGCCAAACAACTGACAAACGCCAACGTCTTCGAGCGCAACCTCGAGGCAGCCCTCGACCTCCGCCGCGCCGAGGGAGGCTTCTTCAAGATCCAGAAGGGCCTCCCTGCGCCGGACAGCGTCGACTTCAGCACGCTGGACGTGCTGTCCCTCACATCGAGCGGCACCATGCGCCGCGCGTACCTGGAGGAGTTGGCGCGCCACCCGGAGTTCAAGCTCAACGACGGCAGTTCGCGGCTGATGAGCGACAGCGAGTACACGGACGCGGCGGAGCGCGAGATCGCCGAGTTTCATGGTGCCGAGACGGCACTGATGCTTAAGTCCGGATGGGACGCCAACGGCGCCATCATGACGGCCATCCCACGGCCTGGGGATGCCATCGTGTATGATGAGCTGATTCACGCCAGTGTGCATGAGGGGATGAACCTGAGTCTTGCTGCCACAAAGGTCGCCTTCAAGCACAACGATGTCGATAGCTTCCGCGAGGTGCTGCTCAACATCCGCGAGACACAGCAGCTTATTCGCGAGGGCAAGCGCTGCGTCCTCGTCAGTGTCGAGTCCGTATACAGCATGGACGGCGACGTCGTGCCACTGAAGGAGATGGTGGTGATCGGAAAGGAGATCTTCCCTGAGGGGGTGGTACAGTTCATCATTGACGAAGCGCACTCGACGGGTGTCATCGGTGAGGGCGGCAAGGGTCTCGTCAATGAACTGGGGCTTGAGAAGGAGATCGCCGTGCGGATGCATACTTATGGCAAAGCACTCGCAACCAGTGGAGGAGGCAAGTTGCCCTCCCTGTCTTTTTCGTCTCTCCTAACCAAAGCTAACCATATCTACAGCTGCTGTCCTCTGCAGCTCCACCGTCCGCCAGATGCTGGTCAACTACGGCCGTGTTATCATCTATTCCAATGCTCCCCAGTTCTCTATTGTCGCTGCCATCCGAGCGGCCTACACGTTCATGAAGTCGGGACAAATCGAACCGGTAAGTCCTCCATTTCAAAGAAGAATGTCTCTTACTTTCCAGCAAACGAACCAACTGACAAAATCTCCGCCTCGCACAGCTACAAGCCCAACTCCAAAGCCGCATCCGCTACTTCTACAAAGCCATCACCTCCCGCCCCATCTACGACGAGGCCAACGACGCTGGCATCCTTTCCATCCCCAACGCCGAGAACTGGGAAAACGAGTCTCTGCTGACGCACATCTCGTACGTCCTGACCCGCCAGCGGTACACACTATATCTCTACTTTCACCTGCAGCTGGCCAAGTTCATCGTGCTGCCCATCAACTATCCCGTCGTGCCCAAGGGCAAGTCACGCGTGCGCATCGTGTTTCACGCCCGTCATACAGACGCTCAGCTCGACACCCTGGCTGATTCGATCTGCGCCTGGGCAGAGGAGATGCTGTCCATTGAGGCGGCTGGAAAGAAGGCGAACAAGGTGCCTACTGCTGCGCGCCAGGTCTATGCGGCGAGACAGGGTATTGCGGCTGCTTGAGTCCTTCACATGCCAGGGGTAGCATCTCGTAGAGTACTCTTCACAGCTGTTTAGCTAGCTTTCCTCTCATAATACACACACCTTCGTCTACCTAATTTATATCCAAGTACGAAATCATGAGATTCCCTTTGAGGGTGAAGGAAATGGCAGCCTATTGACCTCTTTTAAGCCCTTCGTAGTAGGCTATAGGATTCCGAAAAGAGTTGCACGTTTTCATCTCGATGACTCGCCATAATTCGAGGCGCATGCATGTTTGGGAAGGATGATCGAGTCAGTGAATGGTTTAGCCTTATTACGATGTATACGTGAATAGGACAGGACACGTTAGAAATACCTAGGTGGGAGGGCGACTAGTGATAGTATTAATCTATAATCCGGTGCAAACAACCAGGGAGAAGCTCCCACTATCTAGATACCTCTGGATCCGCCTGCCCTCCAATGGACCCCTGACCACTCACTCCTTTGTTCCTCAAAGCACGTAGGAACAAGCGAGAGGGTCAATTGCCCACGTATATATATAATTAAGTTTCCATGTTCTGTCTTCCAACCTCCTCTGTCTCAATGGACAACTCCTTGACAAACAGAGAGGACAGGAAACCGAAGCCGCTGAAGCCCGCCATCAAGTACCAGACTGCCCGGAAAGAGTCAGCGTAGGCAAGCCGGACGCCATGCATTATATGCTCCTCCAGGTCCACGTCTCGCAGATAGGGGATGAAGCCCACCGCCTCGGCCGAGTCCTCGAGGATAGAGATAGCAGCAGGAAGTTGGCCAACCTTCGCAATCGACCGAGCGAAGACGTTGCTGAAGATGGTCGATCCAATGGCCAGGCCAATCAGGGCGCCGAAGAGACGGAAAGAGACGAGAAGCCCGACCGAAAGACCCTGGTCGTCTGGCTTGACACTTGCCTGGATGGCGACGGCGGGGACGACAAATTGGACGCCGAGACCGATAGCCGCCAGCACCTGAAAGCTGGCTGTCATGGCCACCGTGGACTTCTCTCCCCACAGAGCATATAAGCCTGTGCCGACTGTCATGACAACCCAGGAGGCCCATAGGAGCCAGAGATAGCGTCGCAGGTGGTCGATTGCAAAGCCCGAGATGAAGCTAAAGGCGATTAGGACACAGCACAAGGGTAGGATGGAGACAGCCGAGTCCAAAGGTGTTTGGAGAAAGACGGATTGGAAGAACAAGGGCAGGTAAAGCAATGAGGGGTATAGAACCAGACCGTGGATGAAACCTCCAATGAGTGTGGCCAGGGAGGTGATGGAGGTCAAGAACCGGTAGGGGATGACAGGCTCAGCTGGTCTCTTCTCGTATACGCCAAAGGCAACCAGAACAAGGACACCGATAACCAGGGGGACAATTGTCCGCCAAGAGCCCCATGAATATAATGCACCAGCCCAGCTCAGCGGTAGGGAGAAGATGGTGCAGCCGGTGACGAACAGAGCCATACCCAGCCAGTCGAGTCTGGCGAGACGTGAACCCAATGTCCCTTCAATGGGCTTCAGATGCATGAAGAAGAAAGCGCAGGCAGCACTGATGGCGACGAGCGGCAGGTTAATCCAACCTATCCATCGCCAGTCGACGAATTCGCTGAAAAGAGCACCAATAACAGGGCCAAGAATAGAGCCTGCGGCCATGGGGACAGCCAGGAGGCCCAGCCAGAATGGACGCTCCTTGAGCGTTGTAATGTCGCATATGATGATCTCATTGAGCACATCGAGGCCTCCGCCGCCAAGGCCCTGAATGACACGCCCGAGTATAACGACGGCCATGCTCTGGGCAACGGCGAAGACGATGGAGCCAACGAAGAAGAACAGGAACGCCCCGTAGAGCAGAGGTTTTCGGCCGATAACGTCGGAAGCGCTGGTGTAGAGAGGCTGGGTGATGACGACGGAGAGCATGAAGGACAGGTTCGCCCAGAATGCCTCGAGCGTGGTGCCGTTCAGTTGGTTGGTCAGAACCTAGGCATCGTGTTAGAGTTGCAGTAGACTATAGCAAATGAGGCCAGAGTGTGGGCCAGAGTGTGAACGAACCGGAATGGCAACGGCCAGAGCTGTTGAGTCCAACGAGACGATCAGGACCATGATCACGAGCGACAGAAAGGCGAAGTAGAAGGCCACGGGTTTCCGTTTGGGCGCCGACTGTTCTTGGATGGATGCCGGGTCTGAGTCAACTTTCTCAGGAGTCTTCTCAGCCACGACCGCGCCGGCCTCCGGGTCAAAGCCCACATCACGAATGCTTTTCGCATCGGGAGCAGTATCTAGTGGTGTCCCCGACATGGTGATGGTAAGCGGCGCAGAAACAAGTGTTAAACCAAAAGAACCCTCCCTCGTAGATGATGTAGGTAAGAAATTTCCATGTAGTCAAGATCATTTACTATGGGGGCGGCCAGATTTATCTAAGCACCTTTGCGAATATGTTTATTATTAATCCAAGACGGCTGCGAGACCAAAAGTACTGCATAGGGTCGTTATACATGGTTGTATCCTGGCATCAGTACCTACCTGATCCAGGCATTTCTGCACAACTACCTACCCCAGGACTTCGGGCAAATCGAAGAGACCCGTAAGACAGAAATCAGGCAAGGGAAGGGTGATCGCACGCCATCTGACCCTTGCTGCTGACAGACAACTTGACTTGCCAATGCGTAAAAGTTATGTAGTAGTTGTGGGGAATTGTGCAAATTTTCCTGAATCAACGACCTGTCACACAAAAGCTCGAGGCCTCAAAGGACTTTTCAAAAGTGCATTGCTCCGAAAGGAGCGTGATGTAAGACTTGGCTCAGCGTTCACTCACGAAGTGGAGGAGATACGGCAGCGGCCGCCACCAACATCGAACCTTATGTACTTTATTCTACGGGGTCCAGGCATGGATGATGCCGAATAGCCGGTTTACAGAGCTATTCTAGAGGGCTTGGCGCCTATCGACGTCGAGCCAAGCCAAGCACGCCTTCGCCCTAGCACGGAGTATCTTCAGTTTCACTGCATAATTCAGGTGCCCTGGGCTATATGCATCTGAATAGTCAGCCCTGCGAAGACTCCTAAGATAGTTAGACGACTCCTAAGGAAGCTAGACGCACCGGAAGTGGCGGTGCGGTTGAGCCGCCCGCTCTGCCGCGCCGTAGTGTACAGACAAGAGGCCTCACAGTTTCTTGCCCCTTGTCTCCTCTACCGGTCCGGTTCAACCCTGGTCACGACAATGGATCAGGAATCCTTTTGAAGCCAACGCACATGTCTCATTGAGCATTCACAAGACCTGTTGGTCCTTCTCTTCGATGGGCGTCTAAGGATACTGGCATGTGGCAGACTTGGAGCTGAGTAAGTAATGAATATTGAGTCTTAGCAGGTCTGTCTGTCATCAAGGCCAACGGATTGTACGCTTATTAGGGGTCAGGAGAACAACAGTTTTTATAAACGCGCGGGTTGCGGCTGTACAACATGCTCCGTACCCCGACCCCCTTGCCGGCTACGCCGCCTCTGTTGTGCTCGCCCCCTGGGTGTTAGCACAAGAAGGAATCTATCTCGGACTAGATACCTGGACTTCCTTGCCCTTCCTTACCGAGTGGTGACTCGTGAGACCCCCAATATCTCCGAGGTAGCGTGAAGGCGTCATGTCAATCCGTATTAAAAGCTCCAAGAGCCACCCTAAAGGCCGAAGAATCGCGTGCACTCCGGATAGCACCACCTAATTATCAATGGCTATGCAAGGCTACGCAGGTGAGTTTCGCAAGAAAGCTTCTCCTCCAACCATCTGTGAACTAATCGCGTTGATGTACATGTAGTATGTTACCGATGCAGGAGGCGCAAAATTCGTTGCGGCAGAGAGCGCCCACACTGCTTAAATTGTGTCAATGCCGGCTATGAGTGCGACTGGTCAGGAAAGGGGAAAAAGCCGAATCAGTCTTCAATGTTGTGAGTCCCCCCTCGGTAGCTTGAAGGCATGAGTATCTGACCGAGCGTCAAATCCACATCCAGGCTCAATGCTATATCAGATCTCAGTCGCCGCCTTGAAAAATTAGAAGACATCACGGCAGACATGTTCGACGTCGTGGCGAGGCTCAACGCTGTCTACCCGCCACATGGTGAAGCCTCAAACTCAAACACTCCGCCTCAGCAAGCCGCAACACAGCACAAAGGTACCACCGTGCTTTCACTCACTCGATCCTTACTAGACCAGTTGCTGATTTGCCATTAGCAATACTACCCCAGACAGAGCGAGATGAGCATCAAGGCATATGCTCAGAGGAAGATGTCTCACTGTTATGCAACTTCAACGCAGATGAGCAACTCCAATATTTCAGAGCAAGAATAGGAGAGCAGCATGGCCTTGGTTCCAGGTTTGGCCCGCTCTATCCGGCCGGAGATACCTTCAACTCGGCATGTCAGAGCAGAAAAGAGTATCCCGATTTCTCGTCTTCTCATTCATCCATCACGGATCTAACCCCTACACCTTTGCCATCGGCCCTGCCTACGGTGACCCAGCAACATCCACCTTCCTCGGCACATGGGTCTGTCGACGAGTTCGGTCAAACCCTGTCAGGGAGTTATTATATCCCCGCTGATTTCTGCCCAAGTGTACCAGACTCCAGGTGAATAGAATAAAGTCTCTACATTTAGCCTAGCTTCGTCTTACTTGCCGTATTGTGAGAATTTAGTATGGTAGTAACATCACACATAGTTATGACGCCCGAACTCGACCGATCGGTCCCGTGACAGCGTTAAGGACTTTAACCGCTGGGGCCCTGGACAGTTGCATTATGATGAGTGGATTTCCGGGGATCTCTTACTCATGCAGTGTCAGTACTTCTGGTGCAGATCACATGCAATCAAAAACTCGAGGTGTCTTCCTTGGCAATAGGGGACTCGCAGGGTTCCCTGACTTGTCATACACTTGGCTCAAGGATTCGGAGCAAAACACCCTCAACAAGCAGGAGGTAGAAAGCCTATCAGTGAGATTTTTTCACAAATACGTTATTAATTCTGCCAGAATTGCATAGCTCGGGATACCTAATGTTACTCGCGTCCTAGTTGCTGTCGGTGAACATCGCACAGCGAGGGATCATCTGGAGATCAGTTGCAAGCCCAAACTATCCCACCACCACACCGTCGCCCGTTAATCCTTATTGTATGCATAACTATAGGGATATTAACCTCCTATGGCGAAGTAAAGTAAACGATCGATCGCGCCAAGTAAATGCGGCCCAAGCCCTCTATTTCGATCGTCAATGAAACTTACAGCTCTCGGAAGCCATGATATACACCGCACTTGGAAGCACAAACTCCAAGGTAGCATCCACGCATATAGTCGGGCCTTCCTTCACCGCCAGCTCGAACTACTCTTACGACCGGGCGAACATGACGCAACATCACATCAATTGTAGTGTAACGGCCATCAGTCCGTACTCGGACCCGTGATTAGATATCCGAAGGCTCTGGCTACAGAGAGCGACTGATTATCAAACGGTGTTTGTTCCGACTTTTACAGATCAATACAGGATATCTTGGGCATTGTCAGGGTCCCGTCCGTTGCCAGGGAAGAACATACTCGTCTTCATGTCTCCTTACGGTTTGTGAATTATATGCAACCAGGCCTATATATTTATGCGTTACATATCACCAGAAAATAAACGAACGAGACAGCCCGCTTATTGAAAGAACCTTTTTCTTGCGGAAACCACGTCTTGCCGCACCAAATACTGCGCTTCGATCATATAGCAAATCATCTTCTCGTTAGTTGAATAATCAGAGCAAGACATTTTTCGACGAGCGATCTGCCCTCCTCTGTCGGAATGATACTCCTTATGTATGCAAGTCTGTCAGCCCACGATTGCACAAATTGAAAGAGTTTTCCTGTTCTACGGTATCCCTCCATCCATCCCTGGCATCACCTATGCTCTCTCAGGAGTTTTCCACCTTTTACGTTCCAGTGACCATCTCAGCCCTTGCTTCGCTACGGTACCTTCAGCATAGGTCATCCTTGCTCCAGCCTCAATATGAAGACTATATAGACAGTATCTCTCCTGAAGATTGGCCATTATCTCTTTCACTCCGGTCGACAAGATAACAGCAGGGAAGAATTCTCCACTGTATTTGGTCGAGAGATGAGCAGCTCTGTGGCACCCGCAAAGCGCAGCTCCTGTAGCCTCTTCCAACGCATACGGCATCTCGGCAGATCAGTGTCGCTTGCTCCAATGCCAACTTGGGCCATGACCTTCCACGCTGCGACAGTCTCTGCCTTGGGAAACTCGTTGTTAGGCCCCCTTTAGGTTAGTAGGCAATCTAATCAATATGTACTATGCTCCAGTCATCCCATTCACTATATCCTGTGCTAGATTATCAGTAATAGGGTCGATTTAAGTAATAGAAAACCTCTAAGCTAGCTTGAAGAGATAGCAGAGTTTCTTAAAGCTACCGGCGGAAGTTTCATGGCAGCCACAGCGAACTACTTCACAAGTTCACGTTGTAGAATCGAGTCGGATTTCAAGTGACACGCGGTTGGGTATTGAGCTTCAAGCTACCAAGCTAGACTTCAAACAATCAAGTTGAGCCTCGGTTGAGCCTCGAGTATTCTTCCTGCACTAAACTTCGACCACGACGCATCAGCTTGGCTGTGTATTGAGGACGATAATTGGTAGCTCTCTAGCTAGTAGGAAACACAAGCTCTCAAATGTTAGCAATGTTTCAATGCCTATTAAACACTTAATTCATTGGGATCTGGTCCGTCATGTTATGTTCATATTGAGTTGTAGGTAGTAATTGCTACTTGACTATGGAGTGGTTCAGAACGCCACCTGGTGAGAAGGCGAAGCTCAAGTATGAGTAGTTGGTCCTTTTCCCGTACTACAAATAGCATTCGTGCCGTCTGCATCGCGCTCCTCGCCACACCAAACATAGATGCTAAGAAAAGTCTCCGTGACCTTTGTCTTGTATAATTCATCACATGTCCAGCCCACACGCAAAGTGTCATTGAGGCAAAGTGTGACGCAGCAATTTGTCTTGACTGGTTTCCAAACGAAGCTCTGGGCGTTGAAACCAATATCAGACTTGCCGGTATCGCGGAGGAGGCCCGTGTGGTTGCCATTATAGTTTTGTTCTGAGAAGCTTTGAAAGGCGAATTTGTTGCCCGAGTCGGTTGCGTTGTTGAGGAAGGTCTCGGTTGGAACCGGTATCGAGGACGTGGATGACGCAGAACTTGAGAGATGGTTAGTGTTATTTGAACTGTGTGGAGAGCGTGATCATTCCTCTACCTCTGCGAGGTGGTGCTTGCTGTCACTGTCGTGGATGTATTATCTGGTGATTCTATCGAGTTCGACGATTTCGATGCAGCAGCAGCTCGCGAGCCACCAACACCGCCGCCTATGGCCGCTGCAATAATGACAATTAAGGCCACAACGATGATGATGAATGTATTCCGCTTCAAGCCTAAAATACTTCCGCTCCCTCCCGCCTTCTTCGGATTCTGCTCCTCGACGCTCGGTGAAGAGTCATATTTGACTGAAGGGAGTTCGTGCTTCACCCGGCCGTCATCCTTCAGGCTGACGTCGGGTTGACTCATCGCCTGTGGAAATTGATCTGATTCACTGTACTCTTGGTAGCCGACAAGGTACTTGGCATTGGCGTCGTTCAATCTTTGGGAGTATTCGGCTTGATAAGAAGAAGTGACCTGTGGAGAGGTATCAGGCTGTACGACCTCCGGAAGGTCGTCATAAGTTGGGGCGCCATAGTGTTCGGTTCGGGCCTCGTTTTTGTCGGGTTGTGCGGACATTGTTGGTGATATGGAGTCCGTGATGGACTAAAATCATTCTAGCCACTTGACTAGCAGACTGGCTTCCTTTAAACATTGAGCTGAAGGGAAAATAAGCCTTCACAGTGGGTTACCGTCACCAGGCCCCTGAAAATTACAAATGCGATTGCAGATCTAACGATTCGCTATCCAGGCGACTTACCGTTTCCAGCATTGATGAACATCACATGCATTATTACTATCACATTGAGCCATAGCCGATACCTTGGCAACTTGGATGAGTGGACCGAAAAGGTTCAGCTGAAGGCATCGAGAATTTTCGCCTGCCGGCGTTTTAGATTGACGCAGGGGCAGGGTCAGTAGGATCAAGCCTTATGAACAAATACGGTATGCTACCCGACCCCCTCGCAGGGGTTACTGCTTTAGCGTAAATTAGAGCTCGAACTGGAGGCATATAAAATGCGGCCGTGTAGGGGAAAGAACCACATTCACTCTTTTTTTCTTATTCAAGGGAAGCCTGAGTCCTGTTGTCTTTGCCCAGACATGAGCTCCTTTCTGCCGTTTTAGTGGGAAAACTTACTGCAGGATGTTTAAGATTGAAGTTCGTTACGAATTTCTCACACAGGGGTTATGTTATTACGATGGAGGCCCTCGTAATTCGTATCTGGGGAGACAGGGGTGGAGGATGTCATCGCTTACACCGGTCTGTCCTGTTGATTCAAACATGCTTAGACTCGAAACTTTACGACATACCCTATACTAGAATCCCCGAAACAAGAGCCAGATAAAAAGTCCTAGAAGCGTCTGTGTAGTTTATGCATCTTGTTAAGTTGTAGAAGATCATAAGTAGCCATTACTAAATTGTTAGCAACCTCATTTGAGTAATTTAATTAACTCACAATTGGCTTCTGATACATCTTCATATAATAGTCTGATACTTCCATACTGACCATGAGTTAGAGACAGACTGTTCTCGAACATTGAGCGCTTCGTACCTGAGATATGCTCGCAGGTCGATACATCATTTTTGAACACAGAAAAGCCAGGCCTTAAATCTTACGGTCGAAACCTGCAGGTGTGTACTTGTCAATGATACCATGAATTGGGCCTCCAGGCCGGCAGGCGAATATGGGTGAATGCAATTTGGCTGGGTTCAATGTAAACATGAAACCCGGGGCGGAGTGTAGGGTAAGTTGCAGGGATGTGAGATCTGGGCCAGATTATCCTGTTCTCAAACCTCGTTGGGTTATCGACTGAATCAACAGCCTATAGCCCACGTAATGCCCAAGACAAGCAAGTCTATCGCCTGTAACATACAATTCCCGAAGCAGGAGATCCTGAATTCGAGGAGGAAAACGTTTATCGCGGAGCGGGGAGGTTCGACTTATAAGTGGGTCTAGAGAATTACTACCTAATTGGGAATTACTCTCACGGGACCCCACGGGGAACAGAGTCGAAGAAGACAACCTCTCAGGTTAAGATCAACCCATTTTTTTTTTGCTTTGAGAAAACAGCCAATTATGGCAAAGCAAAATTTGGTGAGCTCTATTGTGTAGTGGAATACATTGGTAACTTTCGTGGCTAGCTTGTTGGATTTGACCGGTATTTCTTCATTTCAGCGAGAATCACCGGAATTGTCACAAATCCAACCCTGACATACGGCCGTCTTCTAGTGGTTGACGTCCAGATCAGCACCCTCCTTGACTGTCTTCCAATACTTCTCCGCGCTCCGTTGTCTCAATGCCCGGCCCCATTTCATGACGACGAAGATAGTCAAGTTGTGAGCGAGTCCTGCAAAAGCTCCAAGAATAAAGGCGTTTTGAAAGCCGAGATTGACAACCCATGGAGTCACACTGCCCACCTAGTTAGCCAGACAATTTTGCGCTGAATCAGGGAGAGACTCACCCATAGCCAATTCCAAACGACATAGTGTTGCGAATAATGATTGCCGTGGCCAGGGCCTCACTTGCCAAGTCGCAGTAACAGTCGATGCAGTATGCAATCGATATTTGGGATCCAGCGGTTGTGGTGAAGGAAATGATGCCCATGGCAAATACGAGGCCAAACCAGTGCACCTCATGGTATGCTCCAACACCGAACAAGATGCAGCCAGCCGGGATGAGCACGAGCGAGGGTACGAATAGCCACAGCCGATGCTCCGCCTCCATGAAGCCCTTGTTTCGGCGGGCCATTTTAAGTATAAAACGGTCACCAAATATCCCAGTATATACGCATCTAGACTCGGTCAGAGATGACTTGTTTCAAGAGGTATGTAGATAGAGTCGGACATACGCAAGAGTTGTCCCAACTAGAGGGGAGATAAAAGTCAAGCCCACCGTAGAAGTGGACATGCTGTATGGCGGGTTGGACAACACCATTGACTCAGTTGCGTTCAGGACCGAGAGCCAAACGATATTGCAGCCGTATATAAATCCAGCGTAAAATATTATGGGGAATAACAATAACAAGATGGGGCGGCCAATCAAGCGCAGAAGTCGGTTTTTACCACGTAGATTCTGGGACTCGATGGGTTTGAGCCTCGCAAACCGGGACTTCTTTGTCAACTCGAGATCTATACCGTCTTGGTCTGTTTGGAGAGCATCAGCGGGAGAAGATGGAGTAGCTGCAAGAACATGATCCAGGATCGTATTTTTCGGGCTCTCCTTGTCGTCTTTGTTATCGAGACCGGATGGTGACTGATTTATACCGGATAGAGGCCGACCTTCGATGTGATGACCAGTCATGTACTTGGCGCGGTCGAATTTGGTTTCCTCCATGAAAAAGAAGATGATGAGCAGCAATACTGCGCAGAAGATAGCACACCAATACTATCATGGGGCGGTTAGACGATCCAAATTCTAGAATGCCTCACGTTTGAAATGCTTACAAACACCCACTTGTACCCTTGTCCGTCGTTGATAAAACCCATGATCAAAGGCGCGATCCCGTTGCTGTAGCCAAGCGCGAGGGCGTAGAGTGCAATGAACTTTCCTCGCTCATGTGTGAAGAACTGCGTAATAAGAGTCAGCATCATGCGTCAGAGTCCACAATACTGAATCGGCCATACCACGTCAGAGACAGTAATCTCTGCTAAAGACTCAATAGGTGCACCGAAAATACCCTGCAAGATCTTGGTCGCAATCCACTCTCCATTAGATCGGACGTGCGGTTGCCACAGCATGACGCCCTGAATCTGTTAGAAGAGGGCCCCTAGTGAGCTTGGGACTCTTACCAGTGTGCCGGCTGTCGTCAAGAGGTAGACAGGCCTCTTGCCGTATTGGATACCGATAGCCTGCCAGAGTATGCATCCCCACCCAAAGAAGAGAAACTATGAGGATGTTAGCTCAACTCTCCACGCCTTGATCATGTGGAGTGGGCTACAGCAGGATACACCTACCATGTAGCCAGTTCCGGAGTTAAGATCATTGTACGTCAGACCAGTGGCGTCTGACAAGGGACCTAAGGTGGAGTAGAGGGCAGAAGAACAGATGCCAATAACGAGGACATAACTGGTCGCGTGTTAGCAAGAATCAAGCTCAGCGTGAGAGACGAACAACCGTACGCCGACATGCAAAAAGCGGAGAGATATTTTCGTCGCAGAGACCAGTTTAAGGGGTCGTCTGGATGGGACGATGGGACTGGCACGAGTACCACATCATGATCTGCGCCTTTTGCGTGCTGAGACTGCATATTTCCCTGCGCATCCACAAGGTGGACCGTCCCGGGAATTGCTTCAATCTGACTTGCCATCTTGGTGAATTGTTAACCCTTCCGAGAGATTGCAAAGTGATGAATAATAGTATAGAAGGTGAAGAGGGCCATGACGAACCTCGGGGATAAATAGAAGAGCTGGTGCCTATTTATACCTGTTTCAAATACTTGAGACGAACCGGCCGGGTCTTCCTGATTTCACTGTCGAAGGAGAGGGCACTGTGCTATCACGTCTAACCAAGTTCACTTAGGCATGATGACGGCTTGGGATCGGCGAACCTTGGCAATCTAGCTAGCCAACCATAACCATCCCCGGATATGTTTCTTAGCGGATACTGGACTAGCTTCATTGTGCGGGGGTGGAGAGGTGCTTACGAATTGTCTCCTCCTGGTAGGTAGCCAGAGTCATGGAGTGCATTCTTATCACCATCCCTGCGAGTCAACTAGAAAAGATACTTCCTAATCCAGTCATAACTACAATCGAGGGTGAGCTCGCCCTCTTGCCAACTCTTAGCTCGACTCCTGCCAAGCCCCTAATCAATCTATAAACTCAAACACAAGCACAATTGCCTAGTGAGGAAATAACCAGTTATTACCCAGTGAGGAAAGATTCAAGCCATGTTCTATCTACCTACTTCACGTACAATCGGGCAAGAGAGACGATTTGGTGTCCTTCTATCTGCTATAAGGATAGACTGGTTACCAATGATTTGCACCTCCAACGCAGTGAATGCTCAAAGAATTTGGACCCAATCACATTCTTCTATTAAATTTAGCCTCATATCATTGCCATACTTCCAATCCCATCTACAAATAGATTACTCGACATGGTCGCTACACCATATCCCGTACGTCCGGCTCTAAGCCATGAGGAGAAGGAAATAACCGGTTATGTCGAGCCCTGGGTTGTCTCACCCGGTGACACGGCTGATGTCAAAGTAAGTGATCCTGCCGACTTCATCTTTGGCTCAAACACTGATATTCCTAGGTATCTTCCACCCAATCCAATCTCAAGTACCAGCTCGTGCGTCTACTCCAGGGCCTTGATATGCCCCATGCTCCCACACCTGCCAAGGAGATTATAGAGTATGGCCCCAAAGGAGAGCTTAAAGGGCGATTCCAGGCATCTCACCCCGGGTCCTATGCTAGAGTAGACGGCTGGGCAAGAGACCCACTACTGAGCAAGTCTGATGGTGTTGAGATTGACTTCTATGCACAACCTTGGATGTTGAACAGTCCTCATCCTCAAGCCATCATCTCAAACCTCGACGTAAGCAAGAGCAAAGGATTTTGCATACTTCTAGACACTGATCAGAACCTTGTCGTCTGGATCGGTACCGAAAAGGGCATCGAGACTAAGAAGATCACTTCCTCTGCTCGCCATGAGCGCTGGTTCCGCCTTCGCCTTACCATTCAAGGCAAGGAGCTCCAGATCCATCTGTCCCACATTGCCACTGGAAACGAGATTGCCCCAGGCCCATGTACTGTTCAAACTACACTCGCTAGTGCCGCTAGTCTTGACTCTGGAAGCCCGCTGTACTTCGCGGCGACATTGGCTGCTAACCCAGCATCATCTTCTGAGTTTCCAGTACACTTCTTCAACGGAAGAATTGACTCACCCAGCTTTCGGGCTCTTGGACGGAAGAGCTGGGATATTGCCAGGTACGACTTTTCGGTCGGTATCGATACGGACGAGATCTTTGATATCTCGGGATCTGGGCTTGACGGTGTTCTCATCAATGCTCCAACCCGCGCTGTCCGCGGTCACGACTATGATCATAAATTGATCGGTGTTGGCTGGAAAGAAGCCAAATATGGATACGGAGCGATCCACTTCCACGACGATGACCTTGATGATGCAGCCTGGGATACCGACTTTCAGTTTATAGTGCCCGCTGATCTTCGATCTGGTGCATACGCTATTGAAGTCCAAGACACCGAGTCCGACCTCAAGGATTCGATTGTCTTCTTTGTACGACCAAAAGAAGTCAGGCCTCAAGCTAAGATTGCGTTTGTATTTTCTACGTTTACCTATCTGGCCTATGCCAACGAGCACATGTATGACGAGACCAAATCAACGCACATCTCATTCCCTGAGGGGGTCCAGCTAGTAACCTCAGATAACTACCATAAGATGGTTAGACGCCATGACCTCGGCCTCGCCATATATGATCTCCATAGCGATGGCTCAGGTGTGGTGTACAGCACGACAAAGCGACCAATCCTGAATGTGCGACCTGACTATATCCACTGGGGCTTCCAGCGACCTCGAGAATTCTCTGCAGACCTGCTCATGGTCGGCTTCCTGGAGAAACATTTCGGCGATGGCTACGATATCCTTACGGATCACGACCTCCATCTGCGAGGTTCCGCCGTTTTGGCCCAGTATGATGTGGTCATATCAGGCTCTCACCCTGAATACCCTTCCTTCGAGTCGCTTGATGCTTACGAAGGCCATGTCAAGAATGGAGGGTCACTCGTTTATGCTGGGGGAAATGGTTTCTATGTGAGTGAATTCGACCCAAGCACGTCTTAATATGTATTCTAACTGCTTTTTAAATTGTAGTGGAAATCCGTGACGGATCCTAAGCGACCTCACCGCATGGAGGTTCGCCGGGCAGATGTTGGCGCGAGGACTCATCAGAATCCAGCCGGTGAACGACACCACGCTCTTAATGGACAGCTCGGCGGGCTCTGGCGCTCCCTAGGTCGTTCTCCAAATGAACTCTGGGGAATCGGAAGCTGCGCCTCTGGAAAAGGCCCTGGTAGGCCCTTCATCCCTACAAAAGAAGCACTTGAAAATCCACAGCTATCCTGGGTTTGGAGGGGGCTCGATGAGGAGTCCACGAAGCTTCTCGGTACTAAGGGGCTGGCTGGTGGAGCGAGTGGTGATGAGCTCGACCGGCTGGATGTGGCCATTGGAAGTCCCGAGAATGCCATTCTGCTAGCTAGAAGCGAGCGGCACGACGACCACTTTATGCTGTTTAACGAGGAACTCATCTTTCCTATGATCGGAACGCTTGGTTCTACATCTCCTCTTGTTAGGAGTGACATGGTGTATTACGAAACGAACGGGGGAGGGTCTGTTTTCAGTGTCGGAAGTATCAACTGGAATAATTCTCTGGCCTGGGATGGATACCAAAACGACATTGCTCAGATCACTGAGAATGTGATCCGCGAGTTTCTTGCTCGCGGAAAGAAATAGGTTGACAATCTCTCTACTAGCTCTGTCACTGGGTGAAGATTTAAGAACTGTAGTTTAGCTCCGTGTTCTGTTATATAAACTCACCCCCCGCGTACTGACTTGATCTGAAGTAGAGCTTCATCTGCGGATGTCACTATCTAATGTACTCAATGATTATTTCCCCTCGCTAAATACTTATAAATGGAATGGAGGAGCCTGAATTGCTGAGCGCTGTGTTATGTCTTTCCCCCTAGCTCGGGCAAGGTCGAGGGCCCGCCATGTTTGTTATTTTGTAGTTGGGCCATGATCCATCAGACAATCAGGATCTAGGAATCTCACTCCACTCCAGACTTCAGGGATCTTCATAACCTAGTCTGTGTTTGGAAGTATCTCTAGCCAATGGCAGCATCATATCCTTGCCCATGTGATCCTTCGGACGGCGGAAATAAGAGTGGGCTCGTAGAAAATCATCACCTATTGTCCCCCTAACTTACCATGTCCCACCTCGACTCTCGCCTGTTGTTGCGTTACACCGTCAATAATCAAATTTGTGACATAGATTTCCACTTAGCAAGCTCTACAGTATGGTCTCTGGGCCATTCTTGTTTGTTGAATCATGCGACGGAGTGGGCGGTAAGCCAAAGCTCCCTGCGCGAGCACGGTCATTCGTCATTCGCAACGCAAGAGCAAAACAATTGTATCGGAAGAGCATCTCGCAAGCCAATAAAATCCAAAGACGTTTAGAGCCAAAGACCAAGAGTACTCAAAGGCGAGAATGTTTAAACGCTGCTGTGGGGATCATCTCATTTAATGGAGGCCAATATCCAGATGTGCTTGATCCAGTCGATATGTCACGCAACTGTATTTGCAGACGAAAAGCCAACCTATGGGCCTTGATGGCGGCTCGTTGCCTTTTCTGCTCGTCTCGGGACCTGACTACGCGCCTGATATACGAGGGTCGTCTGCTTGGGTCAAAGTTAGAACCCTTTCATGCGCTTGGCATAGAAGTCACTCAGCCACATTATGAACTTCTCCTTTATTGTAAGATCCTAGTCTCATCTGGAGTGATGCGATGCTGACCCTAGTTCAAGTCACTAATGCAATTATGCCGTCTTTGGAATTACTGCAATACTGGCTGGCACCCTCTTTTAGCCACCCAGCCTTCATGCATGCGATATTGTGTCTGGCAGCTGTCCAGTTGAGTGCCGAGCGGCCACACGAGCCGAGACACTTCAGAAGTTTCCTCGAACACCGGATACTAGCAATTGCCGCCGTGCAGCAGAACCTTGCGAGTGAGCAGCTTGCTTTGACCGATGAAAACATTGCGGCTGTTTTCAGTCTTCTCTGTGCCGAGGAGAACTTCTACATCCACGCCACTGAGATCTATTCTAAGGCCGGGAGATATCTACAGCAGGACGATACACAAAGAGCAACCCATTTAGCAGGGCTGCAGCGCATGTTGTCCATCCGTGGAGGGACCGACTCGCTCGAAAGCTCGCGCATGCTGCAGGCATTCATCATACGATGGATCTGCACGCCCCGTGGATGCCGGTTGGCCTATGTCATCCCACAGGCGATCCCTGCTGACAAAGACAATTCAACTGATCAACAGCGTGATCCGCTCTTCTTGACCGAACCTGACATCCTGGCTGACGATTTCTTGCAACGTGTGTATAATTATCCTTCCGCATCTGCCTTTGCTCGGCAGCATTCAACGATGACTGCTGCGTGTAAAAAGATTGGAATGAGCGAGGCTGTGATCAGCATCATCTCTACTGGTGACTGCTTAAGAAAGGATGCTCTGGCATGGCTCAGGGACCCCGACAGCCACCCTTGGGATGCCCTGGACATACAAAACGTATTTTCAATGACCATTGGAAACCTCTCCTCTTGGATCCTAGAAAATGAGTCAACAATGTCTGCAGCCGAAAATATCACGTTGCTCTGCATATTCGTGGTGGTCTCATGGACTTGGATTGGTAGCACCGGCTGCGGACTGCATGGTATTCTTTCTAGGATGAGAAGATATTTCGACTCTGATCACGTCATGCTCGACCTTAAAATGGCCGGTATCGAGGTCTGGGTTAGTGTTATTCTTCTCATTACATCAATGGGGGTTCCAAATCACTGGGACTACTTCTTCAGTAGGTGCACGGCCATGCTGGCGGATCGCATACCCCGAATCGAGACCTATGATGATCTTCAGGCGGATCTATCACAATATCTTTGGTGTCCCCATTCCATGGGCCACTGTGCTCGGATTATTTGGGAGACAATTAGCAACACTTCATGGGACAATGCTACTCAAGGATTGCAGAGCATTATGTTTGAAGATGACCCTGTCCTGCTACACCCGGCATTGATTATACCGAAACCGTTTTTCCAGATAAAGGCTCTGGTTGGTAAAGAAGCTTTAGAGTAGCTATTTGATTTCCCTGTTTAGATAAGATGTGTGCTATTTGCCACCTCGGATGTTAGATTGGAATAGAAGGACCAGCTCTCTAATCTCAAGTTATATTAGTACTACACCTAAAGTTCCAATACCTGTACAGATGAAATGTAACGATGTATATTGACACTGCCCCAGACGCAAATCCGGCTTCACTAGAACTCAGTCTGACTCGAACATTTTGAATTCTCCGTCTCTAGCTAAAAACTACTTAATATTTCTCTCACCCTTCTATGAGTTAATAAACAAATTATTAACCCAGGGCTTCAAGATCACTTCATCAACTCAGTCCTTGTGGTCCGTTGTGACAATTACAGGCTCCCATTTATTAAGAAGTTTCTCCGTGTTGGCCATTTTCTCCTTGATACCCGCCAAAATGTCGGATCCCAATACCAGACGCACAGGGATTTCCCTCCCTGCGCCTACTCCCGTGCCAGTAAACACATCAATGATAACTCGAGCAGCAGATGCTACATTTCCGAGCTGTTTGTTGTCCGCCTGGTCTAGCACCCCGTGAAAATTGCGAGCAGCGGTATTGTCGTACGCCGTAATGTGCCGTGCTGACTGTATGCGGTGAGCGCCCGAGTTGAGGAGAGCGGTACGGAAGTAACCCGGCTCAATCACGCAGGCGCGGATGCCAAATGGTGCAAGTTCCGGCACCAGGGACTCAGTCAGTCCCGAGACGGCCCATTTGGTGGCGTTGTAGCTCGCGATGCCCGGCATGCCCGTCCAGCTGGCCAGGCTGCCAAAGTGGGCGAGAACCGAGGATTGCTGGGCTCGCAAATACGGCAGGGCTGCTCGAGTGATGTTGACGGCACCAAAAACATTGGTGTTGAAAGTGTCCAAAATTTCTTGGTTACTAGATGATATAGTATTAGTTGGGCATAAGGACATCCGCGATTTGAACGATGATATCTACCTAGACTCTTCGAGCGCTCCTTCCAACACATAACCAGCAGCGTTGATGACGTGTGTGATCTTGCCATAGATCGAGTTGGCTTCCTTCAGCTTTGCGGCGAGAGTGGCTTCGTCAGCTGTAACGTCCAAGTCCATGACTTCCGCGCCAGCATCTTTGAGGTGCCGAATCTTCATGGACTGACGGGCCGTTGCAATCACTTTGTAGTTGCGTTTCGTCGCCTCCACGGCGATGGATTCGCCAAAGCCGGAGCTAGCCCCAGTAATGAAGAAAACGGGATCCGACATGTCTGTTGTTGATATGGAAGTTATTTAGTTCTTTAGACGCAATGAGAGATGAGAGGCAAGGTTTGTACTTGAAGTGGAAGCAAGCGATATCAAATGCTCGGTAGACCTAAGCTTCAAGATATGGGTGAGGTTACGAATAGGTTCTATAATCATCAGGGCTTTAGGTGTAATATATAGATTTCTCGCAGACCTAACTCCATCCAAACAAACTTGAAGCCGTGACTCAAGGAGGTTGAAGTGAACCCCGAGTAGAATGTCAGCTCAGAACCCTGACATTATGATTGGATTAACTAATTGCCTAATTCAGGTGTTACTGGGATGCTGGAGTTTTGGAATTAAGATATACAGGAAGATGCATTGTTTCCGCAAGCCCCACTCCTAGTCCACACAAAGAATCATCGAAATCGGGTTTAAAGGCAAGATCGGTGATACGACCAGTTATTAAGGAGATCAACAGGGAGATAAACAAGCATTGTTGACTGATTGCAAAAATATACGGACGGAGATTGTGCGCTAAAATCTTAGTTGTTGGGTGTCAAAGCTGCGCCCAGTATCGACTCAACTCATTGGTTACGAGACATTCCCGTTTACAGCGTAGCGCTATCGTGTGGAGATCGGGAAAAGCAGACTATATCCAATGGGGCCCTAATACTCTTCCTTATGTAGCCAACTCAGCAACGTCGGCATAGGCGCCAACTACAGAGACGTCAACTTACGTCGTTGTGCCCCCTTCTATGCCGGCATGCCCATGTCGAAGCTGGATTCCTTCCTGTAGGAGTTTAGTCTCCGTTTCGTGTTCGCGAGACGCATCCATACCTTATGGCAGTCGAGATATGCAGTAGATGTGCCCGGGCCTTTATCCACGAACAGGTAGAGTTAAGGACCATAAATACCTCAAGAACGTCGAGGTTCTTATAACTATAAATATTGACCTCAACCCGCACACTCTCTGCTCAAAAGTGACAATAAAACACAACATTTTCAAGAAATACATAGCAACCAGAACCCTCACACTGTCCTCATGCCTTTTATTATCACCGCGCTATATCCTACTTCAGAGGGGACAACCTTTGATATAACTTATTACGCTCAGACGCATATGCCACTGGTTGAAAGTTTCTGGAAAGAGCATGGTCTGCTTGACTGGAAACTCGTCAAGTTTGACGAAGGACAGAAGCCTCCATTTAGCGTGGCAAATATCATTACGTTCAAAGATGCGGCAAGCTTCGCGGCTGCCGCGTCCGGTCCTGGCAAAGACAAAATCGCGGCCGACGTTCCCAAGTTTTGCGATTGCGAGCCGAAAATAATTGGAGGAGAGTTGGTCTTTAGCGGCTGAGTGCTCAAATACATCATTCCTTGAACCGCTCGCTCTATCTTTGACACGTAGCGACCAGTATATGGATGAAAACGACAAATATGCCAAGGAGAGAAGCTGTGTTCGCGGTCAAATTGAAAGGAATAGTCCGGACATAGAAATTATCATAAATAAAGGATTTCACAAATGCTCCGGTTTTATTGATGTTCTGCACTTTCTTTCAAAAGTAGCTATGATGGTGAGTATTCTCGATGAGTGTATGTATATTGTATGCTTCATTATGATATAAACGAAACTACTTCAATATCAAGGAAGCTCTTTTATACCCCCGCGTTTGTATTAAAGACTATTGGCCAGTTCTTTCGTTAGCAGCCATCTCGTCTTCATCTTGAGGCGACCGAGAGAACCAAGGCAACCCCCGAGCTTTAGAAACACCTCAAGGATAAGTTTGGTGGAAAAACAACATTCATGGATCCGAAGTAAGGCAGACCAATACATCCCAATTTCAAGGACTTGAGGCCAAAAGATGGGCTCTGATTCAGGATCAACACCAACCGATGTGTCTTTGAATACTGGCCTCTCATTATCATCCACAGGTATGCTCTTGGCTGACTTCCAGCTGAGCTTGCGCAGCTCACTCCGGCGCCCATCCACTTGGACCTCTAGGGATGTTTGTGGAGATTTTATCGTGCTACTTGGCTTTTTCAACCACGACCTGTACGGATGGCCACGCAAGTCGTGAAAAATTACGATACTGTAAAGGACCAATCAAAGTCTGGCCTGCAGGTGCAAATGAGGGATTTGACGCGGGGGACATAGCACACACTCAACGATCGGCACTCTGCCCGGGAGCTCGTAGACCACGGAGATACCCGTATCAAGGATCTCTTTCCTCATTGTTTCATATTTGGGCCAATCTTATCAAGGTAGCTGATGAATTGAGAATAGACCTTCTAGAAATGAGATGCGAGAGAAAGGAGTGAGGTTGAGCGACTGACCGCCCCTCTCGACTCTTGACATCGGCCAAGTGCAGGCCAGCTGACAAGCCACCAATTGAAATATCTGCGTAAAGTGCACTTTGAATCTTAGTGATAAGTCAGTTTTGAAATAGAAATGATGATTGTGGCTCTGTATCGGAACGGTCATGCGCGCCACTATCACTATAGGTAATTCTTGTGGTGGCGCCGCCTAATGCCAAGATTCCATGAGTAACCGTGCCACAATTGGGAAGATTCGACTGTCCTCCTGCCCCGGAAATTATACATACCTGCTTCGAAAATGAATACGATGTTATGGACAGTTACAGCTCCATGGAGATGCATCTTGATTAGTCCATACCCACAAGCATAGATGGGATTTGGAATCCAAGTGTGATAACTCGGAGACTTTGATTCTAGCGCGCGCCATCTCATGATCCAAGCCTAGCGAAACGTGACCATGATATCCGACCAATACCTCATTCACATAAGAAGCATCATGGTAAAGTTTCGTATTTTAGATTACAAGTAAATTTTCCTAAGAATACCTTTTTGAAGGCTCCGTTTATCAAGTTACTAACTGATAGGGACGATATTGTGTCTTTCGAAGAATTTGCTGTATGATGTGTACGATACCATTGACGTGAATGTGTTGTTGATAACCAAAATGAGGGACGATGCGCCAGTGACGAATTCTTCACACTTCGATTGGTTCCGGGAAACACTTTCATCGAAGCTAGCAAGAGAATCGACATATTTACCAAAGCCATTTTCAGACTACTCCCGCCGAGGACTATTACGCGAGGACGAATCACTGTATTAGTGGTGTTGTTGTGCTTGATTGAGCAAGAAGATGAGAGAGAGTGACGGCAGAGGTACGTCAGGGCAGTAGAGTGTGTTGATCCCCCGCCTTTTGGTTGACAATGACGACCGAATCACAAGTTCGGATGTCTATATTAGGGCAGCCGCAAATTGGCAGCAGTGTATTCAGGCATGCAACGTTACCATGGCTATAATAATCATGCCATACACGTTGTCGTTCGAGCCGCGGCTAGATACTATCACCAGTCAAGCTTGATCCGGTAGCCATCAGTATCTAACGTTGTCTCCTGGATGAAATGAACTTCATCGAGTCCTACATCTAAATTTCTTGTTTGTCGACCTCCTGATCTAGGCCAAAGCTATGGGGTTTCTTACGCGACTTGGCCTTCGTCGCAGCAGCATTTGGGAGCCGTACACTATTCTAGACTATCTGATATCGTCGCCGTTGATTTACTTGAGCATCAAATTCTACTACTTCATTCTCTTCCTTCGAGGATGCCCAGTCCAAGCTCCCAAGGATAAGCCTGCAGTCCGTCTCGTCTGTATCGCTGACACCCACAGTCAGACCGTGGCAGTCCCAGATGGCGATATCCTAATCCACGCAGGAGACATCACGCACGCCGGAACCGTTGCCGAACTCAACACTCAATTTGACTGGCTTCGTTCCCAACCACATCCAGTCAAAATTGTCGTCGCCGGGAATCACGACTACTGGTTCGTTCCGGTCAACCGCCCTACCGAAGATGTTTGCTCGGGCTAAGTGCCAGACTTGACAGGTCTGATTTACCTCGAGAATAGCTCGACTTTGCAAAAGGTTAAGGGGCGCAAGCTTCATATTTATGGTGCGCCGTATATGCCCAAGGTTGATGGCTACAGGTTTGCGTACATAATTCAGGAATAACACCTACTTTCGCCAGGGCTAACATCGAGGGCATATCTCCAGGTTCGAGTATACTGAAGCCACTCAACCTTGGTCAGACAAAGTTCCGGTCGAGACAGATATCCTGGTCACTCATTGTCCTCCGGTAAGGTCCATGAGTTCTCCCTCTTTGATTGTCTCCTGCTGACCCACATCCAGCAACACCACCGTGATCTCTATCAGGGATGCCCGCACCTTCTGCGCGAAGTCTGGCGTGTCAAACCCTTGGTTCATGTTTTCGGCCATGCGCATTGGTATCATGGCACTGAAGCTGTCCTTTTTGACAAATTCCAAGAGTCCTATGAGCGCTTGCTCTCTCATCCCCGTCGCGGACTGATCGAGGACTTAATCCCTAGCCAGAAATGGCTTGATGTCCTCCTATTCGTCTACTATGGTATCGACGGTGTTTTGTTGTCGTGGCTACGAACCAGTGCTGGTGGTGATCGGGGAGCATGATGATCAATGCTGCGCAGGTACACGGGAATACTGGCAAGGTTAGAGACAGAGCTATTGTATTGGATATCTGACATGGGCTGTTCTAGTTGGGTTACTGGTATCATGTTACTGCACCCTCTGTAGCGCTCGTAGAGATGAAGATTTGAGCGTGCATGACCTTAGTGATCTGAGAGAGGATGCCCAACTTGGCTACGGGCCTAGGTACTATTGATGATCACGGGTAAGGCTTGCTCTCAGTGGCTGGAAATTCACTGCTACATTGAGGCAGCTGCTGTCAGACAGTTCAGGTGATTGGTTGCATGAGATGCAAGCTTAGAAGCAAAAATGCCTCAACAAGCAAACTACACAATACACTGTGAAATGAGCCATCAAAGTGATCCATTGAAAGCTCAGGGACAACACCTCAAAGTACCTGATCTATTCGATTCAAGCAGTTACTGTTCATGATTAGTGATCAACCGCTAGCCAAAATCCTCTGTCACGACATTAGTAATTGCAAAGTAGAATATTGGAATGGACCCTGACAACCGACAAGATGGTAGCTGCACGATCACCTCTCCTGGTGGTGCAAAAACCGTTGCAATCATCGGTGCCGGCCTGAGTGGGCTAGTCTCGGCCGTGCATTTGCTCCGCGCCGGCATCAAGATGACCATCTTCGAACGAGCAAACCATGTGGGCGGAGCCTGGAAATATAACCCACAACCAGATCGGGATCCACCGTTCCCTAGCGTTAGACCACCGACTCCGGACTGGGCTGAGATGGAACGGCTACAGGGAGAAGAGCTAAGTGTCGAGGAGGCGGCGTTGCGGTTTGCTCCGCCGGGCCCGGTGTATGCGAACATGAAGAGCAGAGGCAACAAAGCGGCCATGCGGACCTCTTTAGCGAATTGGCCTGAGGGAAGCGGGGATCCTCTAGACCATAGCGAGGTGCTGGAGTATCTCCAAGATGTTGCTCTCACCCATCATGTGCAAGATAGGATTCACTTCCACACGCGGGTGGAAGCGGTGTCGAAGGAGGAAGGTACTGGTCACTGGCAAATCCGGACTTCTAGGCTCGCTATGACAACGACGAGCTACAAAGTGGAGAGGGAGACGTGGAGGTTCGATGCTGTTGTCGTGGCTACAGGAAGATACGGCGTCCCTCGCGTGCCTGATGTGCCTGGACTATCAACTTGGAAGCGCATGTTCCCGGACCGGCTGATTCACGCCAAACAGTACCGCACGCCAACATCCTTCCGCGGCAAGAAAGTACTCATCATAGGAGCTTTTATCTCCGCCCTCGAGATAGCCAGGGAGTTGACCGACAACGGTGCTACGGTGTACCAGAGTGCGACCGATACCAGGGTCGACTTCAGGGACAAAGCAGGTCATGAAAATGCCGTCAAAGTGGCCATGGTAACTGAATTCGTCGCATTCCCGCAGAATCGAGAAAATCCTAGCTCTGGCACAAAGCCGCTCGATGATGACCGGCCTATTCCAGGGCAGGTAGTTCTCCGAGACGGGCGAGTACTGAATGATATCCACCATGTCATAATAGCAACCGGCTACCTGACCACCTACCCTTTCCTTGGCCCTGTTCTGGAGCAACAATTCACATCACTCGAAGAGGCGGACGAAAAGGCTGTTACCACGGGCGATGCTAGAACCGTGCATAATTTGCACGAGGATATCTTTTATATCCCCGACCCAACTCTGGCCTTTATCGGTGTCACGCAATTCGCCTCTACATTCTCACTATACGACTTCCAGGCCCAGGTCCTCGCGGCCGTGTTCGCGGGCCGTGTGCGGCTTCCCTCTGAGGCTTCAATGAAGGCAGAGCAAAAGCACCGAAAGAGCCGGGTCCTGCCCGGAACTCTGCTGAACAGCATATTTCTCTTGGACGACGTTGTGATCCGTAGGTTGTTGGATTGGGTCAACAAGGATTTGAAAGCGGGTGGGTTCAAGCCTCTCTCTGGGCCAGATGCTGAATGGTGGGATGCTTTTAGAGAGCAGAGGGAGGGTTCTCGATCACTATTGGGCATGCTGCAGGATAATTACTTGGCTCAATAAAAGGCAAATAAATGATCATGGAACACGATTTCACTACCCTTCTCTGTAGGTCTATATCAAAGCCACTTCGATAGAACTTGTGCCGCAACTGCGTATGTGGCCCGTAACATCCCGTATCGAAGAGTTGCCAGAATAGTGACTACATTTGGGAAACAACGGCGCCGACCAATGGTGCTGGAATTAACTCTAAGGAAGAACCAGCCTTTCGGTTCCCGTCGAGTGAATTTGGTCTGGTTATTTGTGGTCTTTCGCGTTGATCCTAAATGTCTCAGGGCCCCAATCCAAAACCATTATCCTTGGAATAACTTAATCGGTTAGTTCAAAGTTATCACCATGGAGCCGGTTCCATCTGACGTGAGAATCCTGGACTCCGACGAAAAGTCCGAAACCCGGCACTTGAACAGTGCTCGGTCAGACGAAAACAACTCCACCTTCTCCACAAGCCCGGGTTACAAAACGTCGGTAGAAGATCAATTTGTAAGCTGAGGCTCATCATCTTTTGAACCTCAGCTTGGAGCAATCACCCCCTATTACGTTGGTAAGCTACTCTTGCAAGGAGGAATATGATTAGTGTCACTGTTTAACAACGGCTCATCATATGGAAATACTAGTAGTAATCATTCAGTTCAATCATTAGACTGTAGTAATTCTAGAACTAAACATAGGCTCCGGCGGCAGCTCGGACTCGGACCCATCGTTATCCTGATGAGCCCATGACGCCGAACCCGTGGCCACGCGGGTATCGATCCAAGGCCCCCTATCTCCCAGCTCCACATCCTTGACCTTGAATGCAATACCGCTCCCACGCTTCCCGGAGGATGAGGTGAATCCGCTGTACTTGGAGCTTGAGCCCACTTTGTTTGCGTTGCTCCTAAACAAAGCCCCAAGAGTGGGCAGACAGGCACATATGATACTGAGCCCGAGCTGCATCATTGACCAAAAGAAGATGGCCCAGTCAATGGCTATTTCGAAATGTCAACATATCATAGTCTTTGAAATTTGAAGGTGGGATTCTAGGTTAGCTTTCTTACTTTTAGAGATCTCAGCCAGACGCACGATACTAGCTACGCAGACGCTGCACAGCATAATTAGCATACCTAGACCAGAGTGAGTTTGGGCAAAAGTTAAAGCATGCGTACCTCCCACCAAGAAAGAAGATTCCGATGACGGAGAACTTCTTCCATTTGTCCAGCTTTAGCTTCTGCACTGCAAATGCCGGGATCGATAGGATCACTACGTCGAAGAATAGATTGGTCGACTCGAATGGAATAAAGACGTGAGGGGCGTAGATGCAGAGCTCAGGGGGGTTATTTGTCGTCCACCCGTCAACTGGATTCTTGCATCGGAACGCGGCGAGGAATGTGAAGGCGATACACCACATTATACAAGCCACCGTCACAATTTTGATAAAGATCTTGTTCCGCTTATCCGCTCCGAATACATCCCAAAGGAATGCTAGGATGCTGAACTTGACGACGGCATAATCGAAAGAATACAGAAGCTGGCTAATATATCTTAACTATTCCGGTTGAAGATAAAGATGGTCAGTGAGTCTGTCATTGAAGGTTGTGGTGTTACAATATCAATAACCTTTGAGAATGCTTGGAACCATATGACATGGGGCACGTCTTTCGGATCTGTGATATTGTGTGGCCTGAAAACACCACCAACGGCAGTATTGTGAAGGTCTAGTCCCAGAAATGTCAGCGGGTGTTCAGCTTAGACCTTGGTGAAGAGTGTCCAATGCCACCGTTCTGATCTATTTCAGCTAAGGAGGGAGGCCTCACAGTCGAACAGGAGTGCCGCGATGGCAATGCTGACAGCATAGGCTACCAGACACAAACCATCACTTAGGTAATGGATATTTCGAGTTTTAAGTCGGGCTGCGCATCGCAATATCATACAAAGCGTCGTTAGGACAATGATCACCCCATTGACTATAAGTAGATTTTTGGCCTCTGAATCGTAACGCGCCATTCTTCGCAGTGAGGGTTGGCGTCAAATGGAAAAGCAGCGCCTGTCAAGGCTCAAGAGCTTGACGTGGAGACCTTATCTGAGTACGAGGAAGCACGGCATTGATATAGAGAGGTATATACATTTTGAAGGATCACTTTGCACGTGGACTAATATGCACAGGGCTGATGTAAGAGCCCACAAATTAGGGAAGGGGCAAGGGCTACTTATTTGAGCAGTTGAGAAGAGTTGCGCACGCAGAAGGTTGAAATTTAAAATATAGTAATCGCAGCCGGACTTTTTTGCGGACTTAACAGCTTAAAAGGCCGTAAGAGGAGCAGGGGGGCACCCATTCTTAGATTAAGATAGACGTCTCCGTGCTTATATGCAAGGGGGAACCTGGTAAGCTATGAGCCTAGGCATAATACATCTCCCAATGTGCTCTAGCCTCTTTGATACTACCGGCTTTTTCTCTGATAGATCACGGCACTTTCTATGCGGCTCGGATTCCATACCACAGCCGTCATCGTGGCGCTTGCCTTCTTGGACTGCTCATGATGACTTGGCACTGGTATATTAGTGCCACGTCAGGCATGTTATTTGATAGATCTTTATGTTTTCCGCCAGTACACTACACTATTTCTGTCCAGAGCATTGCCGCCATTTCCCTAAGTTGTTCCTCCTTCTTTCGCAGGACTTTCGGCCCTCTTGGCGGAACGAAGGATGTTATCATTGCCATTATTCTTTGCTCAGCCCCCCTTCTACTCCAGTCGTACGCTTAGACTTATACCCAGAAGAGTTGAAGGAACATTCATACGTATAATGGTTTTTGGGCCAAAATTGTTGGAGGAATTTCTCAAGTTGTTTGAAAGCTCCATAAGTCGACTCTTGTGAGCAGAATAGTTGATATATGTGCACAATCATTGATGTCACAAGTGGTTCCGAGCGAGGTGCTCATGGTTTACCCCTTACTTCCCCCAGGCCACCATCTTTCATCCAGAAATCCCTCTCCTTGCCCCCTATGGCGGTGTTCCATCCCGTACACGTGGAGGCGTGAGATGGCCTGAATAGAACCCTCCCGCCGACTGACAACAACAGGCTGTATAGGGTAGGATCAAGCTGCACGAGCTTCCCCACATACGGCCCATAAAATAAACAGCAGCTAACACCGACTTACGACGTAAATTTGCCGCCCTACTCAAGCACACCGAGGCACCGACCTATGTACTACATACAACCACCTCATGCTGAGATATAGTGTACCAGTTATAGTGGCGGTGCTTCATGGGTGGGGGCTTGATGGATTGGATAGAATGCTTTACACGTTATGGCATTGTTGATACTGAAGAGCGCTAAACTTCAATATGCTGCTCTTGACGTGTATCTGAGATAGTATCATTGATCCCGAACATGAAATGAAATACGTAGTCACCTAAGACTAGATTGGACGAGTGAGTCTTTAAAAGTATTCCATAAATTGAAGACATCTTTCCTCCATCTTGTTAGTGAAAGCCATATCTGATAGTATTTCTTTACGGGGAAAATTATAATGCGGAATCAGGCTTCGAGATTGCACTATCACCCACGAGTCAAAGTGTATAGGATGTTGGTTGGCTGCCTCCTGGGGGTTACGTCGTGCCTCTAATGACACATGCTGCATGCTCCAGCTTACGAAACATGTCATGTTCGAGCGGGAGACGCCCGTCCGAAAAGCTTCAATCCTCGCTAATTGATCCACCAATTGGGTGCTGCGAGATTGCGTGGCGACCCCTGCATCCTGAAAGGTTACATCCCGCAATGAAGATCTCTTCTTAGTTAAGTCTATTTTTGCGGCTGTTTAAGCTGTTTAATTCTTCCATTGGGAAGCTGTATGCGTTAAGCATGAATCCCCGGGTAAGACTAGATGGGTTTTGTTTCATATCATGACGGATTTATAAAGATCTGCACTGTCATGCAAGCTGACAGTTAGAGCCGAAATGGTTTTCCTCCAATAAAATGGATTTCGTCCGATGATAAATAGATGAACCTACATCAGACGAACATCTATCCGCCTTTGGGACAGAAAGTGATTGCCTCCGAATCTCTTAAAGCCAGCCCCATATCTAACCCTGGGCTCCCCTGGAGCATTTTTAGTTGAACGAGAAATGATCAGCTTAGCATGGCGGTTTTTATTCGAGGAGAAATTCAGAGAATATGGTGAGGTTAATAAAGCTTACACATTTGAAGCGGAAGCTGCAAGATGACATCGTCATTGCTATATGAGCCTCAATTTGAGAAATAAATATATAAATCCAATGACGTCTGGCCTCGGCTTTCTACTTCGCTCAACTGTTTAGCCATCAAAGCACGAAGAGTCTTAGCTCCACCAGACTTATTGAATACTTCCTCCAATTGTTCAACATCGCTTTTTGTGTGTCTCGCACTACCAAAATGAAGATCTCCTTGGCTCTTGTTTACGCTGCCCTTGCTGGCTTGAGCAGCTCCCGCGCCCTTAACAAGAGAAATGAACTTGCCAAGCGTCAGGCATCCGAAGAGTGTCCAGTCGGTTACTGCACGCAAAACGGCGGCACTACCGGCGGAGCAGCTGGTGATACCGTCACGGTCTCTGACTTAGCTAGCCTCACGGAAGCTGCAGAGAGCGATGGACCCCTCACAATTATTGTCTCGGGTTCCATTTCTGGTAGTGCCAAGATTCGGGTTGCAGCCGACAAGACGATCTTTGGCGAGTCCGGCAGCTGTAAGTTATTTCACATCCATTTCCCTCGTACCTAGAGGGTTATGGATCTGGATTGCTGATATCAGGTGTGCAGCAATTACTGGTATCGGCTTTTACATTCGCCGAGTGAGCAATGTTATTATGCGTAACTTGAAGATCGGCATGGTCGATGCCAGCAATGGAGATGCGATCGGAATAGACGAGTCAAACAACGTGTGGGTTGATCACTGTGATCTTTCAGGCGACTTGAGCGGTGGAAAGGACGACCTGGACGGCCTGGTTGATATCTCCCATGGCGCAGACTGGATCACTATTTCTAACACATACTTCCATGATCACGTAAGTCGTACAGAATCCATCCACTTGTTTGTATATGAATTCTAACAATTTGATAGTGGAAGGGCTCTCTGGTTGGCCACTCTGACAGTAACGAAGACGAGGATCTTGGCAAGCTTCATGTCACATATGCCAACAACCACTGGTACAATGTCTACAGCAGAACTCCTCTCATCCGTTTCGCCACAGTCCACATCGTCAACAGCTACTTTGATAGTCTTATTCTCACGGGTGTTAACTGCCGCATGGATGCTCAGGTTCTCGTCCAGAGCTCAGCCTTTTCCAACTGTCCTGCTGAGGCCATCTTCTTCGCCGACTCAGACTACACTGGTTACGCTGTGGTTGACGATGTGGACTTGGGGGGCTCCCAAAACTCAGTCCCCGTGGGAACGCTGACGCCAAGCTCTTTGCCTTACAGTATTAGCGTTATTGGTTCCGGAACCGTTGCTAGCACGATTCCTGGAACAGCCGGACAGAAGCTGTAATCGACAGTATCGTACTGAAAAGCCAAGTTGATGACTAGAAGGCTATTGAGGGATTGTATTCATGCCATGTAGGAACTGCTCGTCATCGCGATCTACCACTACCTGGCCATTTCTCAATACAACTGCAAGGGGTTTTTCCACATGTGTATCTTTAGTCACGTGAATACAGAAGAGCATGCTCATAAACAACAAAATTGTTTCTTTAATGATTATCTTAGAAGCATACTGCGACCGAGTCATGTCCTCTTTTCAAAGCCCCCTTGCACCCATGAGTTAATTCATGTCCAGCAGCTATGCGCTCCAAGGGTCATCATTGATGTTCGCCAAGCGGTAGCGGCTGCCCGCCCGGATAGTGCGTATAATGTCGTTCAAGGCCCCCCTCGTATTAGCGTGGTCATAATAGTGCGTGTGCTTGAAGCCATATATAAGGCCATCAACTTGTGCGCCATTCACAAGCCGGGCGACCTTTGTCTTGTCATTGTGATTCGCAAGTGTCCATCCAAACACGTTTCCAAAAGCTCCAGTCTTGGAGGCAGCCTTCAAATTGGCCAAGGGACCCTCAAACTTCATAGCAAGGTCAAAGAAACCATTTGAATAAACACGCTGTCCTCGGCGCAAATCGTGAAGCTCCTTTTTAACCATTGCTACCTCACCGTCGACGTTGAGAGCCTCATTGGCATTCAAGCCTTTGCGAATTGAATGGTACGCTCTTTTACCGATAGTAGACTTGTAGAATCCATACAAAACCTTGACTCCCACAGGCTGTAGAATATCCCGAGCTAGCCTCCTGAGCCCCTCGATACTTGTCTCTTTATTGGGATCAGATTCGTAGTCGGGATTCTTTAGGTCTAGCCAGACAAAAATGATGTTCTTGCCAGCCTTGCGCTCTTCTGTAATGGTCTGGAACATCTTCTCTGCCGTGTCCCCCGCGCTGGTAGGCAGCCCATCATGGTCCGCCCACCAGCCGCTGGACCAAGCAGTCATGTCGATCTCAATCGCGTTGGCTCCATGTGCAAGGGCGGATCGTACACCGTAGTCTTTAAGGACACGGTGAGCAATTGCATAGAATGGACGACGGGCCAAACTCGTGGTGGCGGGAACATGTGCACCAGGACCGACAACGGACTCGACTGCTAGTGGCAGTGTTTGGTTGGCCATAATGGCAGTCACGCTGAAGTATAAAGAATGAAGGTGCTTGAGTGATGTTGGGAGGAAATGGGAGAAAAAAGGCTGCTGTTGGAGGGCTAAAGAAGGATTTCACAGAGCACGTTATATATATGACAAGTTGGTCCAACAGTTCAGTGATGAGTGACCTATTAACTTCTTGGAGAGTTGCCGATCTACCTTGTAAATCAATCAGTACACAATTTGTGACAGGTAATAGACCACAATTGCTACCATCACCCCTCTGCTGTTGCGTCTGCTGCGTATTACCAAGGTAAACATGCAACCACCAACTTCGCACAAACGAGCACCCATCACTCCATCCGTGTACTTATCTGTCGACATCCATGAGCTCGGTGGGATCGAACGCAAATTGGACCCCATTCACACCCTTGGCTCAGGCCAACTTGGCAATCACAAGCTCCATGTTCCCAATGGTCCCGTCCTGAGGCACCGGGTCATGACTAATGGAGTATTCAGACGTGCTAGGATCCCACTCCTGGATGTCGAAGATGTTGCTGTACGCACCCCACGGCGCGCTCCAGTAGACCCGGCAGATTTTTGTCTCATGCTCGCCGTCCCACTCGTACAAGGTCACATATCCCTCGGTGCCGATGGCGGCGTCCGACCGCCCGCACGAACATATGATTCCCTGCCCCTGAGGCGGGATGACGAGCTTGTCGACCTCATCGGCGTTGATCTCGTTGTCTTTGCTACCCTTGTAGAATTTGCCACTGGAGCGGTTCAATTGGGTCAGAAGGAAGGCTGCGCTGGTGGAATGGGAGAAGGGAGACTCACGACTCGAGCCTGGCATCTCTGACTCGAATATCACTCTTGTGCATGCGATTTCGAATCTTGATACAAATCCATTGCTTGTAGGCCATTGTTATGGATGTGACACGTGAGTTGTATTGAAAGATTTGGATTGAGAGAATGGGTTATGAGAGACTGTAAGATTTTTGGGGATCTAATGAAGCTAGAGAGAGCAGAGATGTCGAATCTTATATACCCGAGTATTTCAAGCAATAGATACCCGCGGAGCCCAGTTCTCTCCTTTGATGAGGAAAGAGTGAATACCAGATACAACAATTGATGTTGATTTTGTCGATTGGTGAATATGGTCATCCACGGAGAAGACATATATCGGCCCTTGCCGTCATGTAAAACGGAGGCGACAGGACACACGAGCCGCTAGGTGTGACATGGGATGCATGTAGTGGCGTAACTGCACTGTACTGTGGATGCTTCTCACCGTATGTCTATAACCCAGCCCAATAACTAAAATGTCTCATCAGGAATTCAAAGATGTTATCCGCATTGGGCTCCCACGTCTTAGATAGTGGTAGAGGGAGGTTGCTTCTTCTCACGTCGTGGTGACATGGAGCCGCTGTCCGACAGTGGGACCGCTCCCGTTGTGCCATAGTTACTCTGGAGTTGTTTACGGGCCGTTTTGGGTGGCATTCCTGCATACATTTCTTGTCTTATGTGGTGGTAGCCCGTAATACCTACCTTTTTGTGAACCCTTGACCTCTTAGGTTTCCCTGGTCCAGTTGGCCTTTTGCATATGTACTGTTTCAGGAACCGACAAGGAGTTAAAAGTACGAGGTTGAGCATGTGTCATGGGACTTGCAGCTGCTCCTGGAAACTCGGTACGTCGCTTTTCAAGACTTGGTATATTATCTAGCGGAGATACTGCCGTTGGTGTCATCTTACATGCCTTACTTCGTCACTCCCGAGAAGTAAATGAGCACCAACACGGTCTCGGATAAGCCTAACACATCTCATGTCTGTGTGTTACGGGATCGATATCAGTCCTGTTGGCTCACCGCCCCGATTGCCTCGACAGAGTACCCGCGCGCTGGTCCTCAAACGATTAGGGCAGTAGGTGATCATTAGCGAACGGTTTTGGGAGCTCGAGTACAATGCTTGACTTACACAGGAAGAAAAACACCAATAGAAGCCGCTAGACCCAGCATCCCAACGGAATGAATTCTATGGTCAGTGTATAGAAGCTGAGAGTATAAGCCATGATTTGACGGGGAATCCTGTGGGCCAATGAGTCGTGGACTGGCGTCAATGTTGTTGAATCTGGACATTATGCCGTGTCTTAGCGGGTGCATGTGTCATACACATCAACCAATGACAATAGCGGCAGCTGCGAGGATGTGACCGATGTACATTCATGCTGTACCGAGGCGAGGTTTATGCACAAGTACTTCCAAATGATACCGTGGTTAACTGTGTGTGGCCAGCTGTATTCTGCCGCTACCTTGACGGATGCATCCATTTCACAAATAACTCGGGAAGTAATCGGCGACTCAAAACACGCCATATTCGGTAGCTCGTCCGGTAGCTCGTGGCCAGCTGTGCCAGCCACAAATTTGTACAAGAGTTGATGCCCAAAACAGTGCAACTGGTTAGTATCGTAACAGAGGCTTGGGCGAATGACAAGATCGCTCACAAAGCGAAAGGACCGCACGCTCATCAGCCAATATTGGTATGAGGACATCGCTCAAAAATATCTACGAGTATTAAAAGGAGAGAACTCGACAAAGAAACCTTCTCCGTCTACAATTTTCTCAACATCTTTTCAGGGAAATCAACATCATTGTTCCCTCCTGACTTTGAATCCACTATGATCGGTCAAATTCGAGTTCCTTTTGCTGATGGCATGACTGAGGGCCAAGGGTAAACATGTTCAGAGATCTCAAAGAACCAAGCTGACATGATGGGTTGTTGTCCCCTAGATTCAACTCCTACCTGCAGCAAACTTGCGTGTACGATGCCGTCACCGTAGACCCGACAGATGGTCCAAACACACCTGTGGACATAAGCTATCAATCTACTGAAATCAACGACTACAAGTAATTTGATCACGATTTCAGAGGTCTTGAAGACGGGTAAAAGCTGACTTCCCTGCCCTGTAGCGAACTTCTGCAGACACTCGATATCAGTGCTGGTGCGGGAGTTTCAGGTTGGGGAACAGAAACTAAGATTGACTCCAAGTTTCTGAACCGGACAGAGGTGAGAATTGACAACCTTTCGAGGCATCTTATGAGAATGTGCTTGCTAATGAATATTTCAGATCAAGAAAAGTTTGCTCACCTATGTAGTCAAGGTGGATGCCCAGCGACAGCCGAGCGGAAGATCCAAGTACACATTTAACTGGAAAGAGTCCTCCGACCCTCAAGGCAAATACGGCGACCGCTTCATTTCCGGTATCACTCTCCTTCATTGGGTTCTGCATCCCAACAGCTAACAGCTTCTAGATTTTGTCAAGGGCGGGGCGCTCTTTGCCCGCGTTTCTATCATTACCAATGAAAATTCAACTTCTCAAGAGCTCAAGGTCGCGTGAGTTTTGGGAGAAAACGACCGTGCTACTACACTGAATCCCGGGCTAACAAGGCTTGGTCTGTAGAGCCAAGACCGCATTCAAGGTCTACGGTGCCAACGTTGAGATCACTTCCGAAATCAACAAGGCCATCCAGAAGATTCAGAAAACCTCCGAAGTCAAGATCTATCTACATTACGTTGGAACTCCGACCGAGATGCAGCTAAGCGACGGGGCGGACAACGACATGGTGCGCCTCAAACAGGTTGCGGACGCTTTTTACAAGAGCGCCCCAAAGCAGGGCTATAGAAGATTGTGAAATTTGAAAAATGCACACTAAACTGGTCATGGAGTTTTGCTAATCGTGACTTCAGTGCGTTATTGGAAAAGTATACCAACATTCCCAACTTCGATAACGAATTCCAGCCTCTTGATTACACCGAAGCCGAAGATCGCGTATGAGACTAGGAGCTAACTCTAAGCCTTTTTTTGCCCCTCTGACTGACCCCTTTTCCTTAGAGTTGGGCCATATTCAACGCCTTTACCAAGTGTCTGGTTATTCAGAATATGATTCGAGCAAGTATGGCGCACTCATTTCAACCAATGACCCAGGTAGGGCGCTAATTTGCTCTAGTCGACTCGAGCCATTATACAAGTGGCAGAACCGGCCGTGATAGGCTCGACACTAAAGTCAGTAAGCAACTGCAGGCCTACAGAAGCTGGGTATGTATTTTAATACTCGTCTGCTTATGAAAGTGGCGTCTAACTGGAACTGTAGGTAAATGAAGTCAGCAAGAACCCCCAGAAGGCCGAATCGCCGCCTGAGAACGACCCAGAAACTCTTCAGACCGAAGTATTGGTAGGTCTCAGATACCGCCATAAGAAGATGACGTGGTTCTCGACTGATGTCAATTTCCCAGCTTGCTGTCAAGAAAAAGACATACATCGCTCAAAGCATTGTCATGGCCAACAATATGAAAACCCACTGTGTGTTGCTCGTTCTCCCTTTTCATGTTTCAAGCGCATATTTGAATGATGTGTGGGCACAAAACTTACGAGAGCAGTTATTGATGACTATCAACACCCCAGGGCCAAACAGCTTTTCAGCTTCGAAGCCTACGATTTTGACCAGGTTATGGCAACCACGAAGGTCATCTTTGGTAGAAGCTTTAGCGGTGATAGGTATATTTGCCTGATGGGACGAAAGTACATCACCCCTGGGTACGAGCAAGTAAGCCAGCTGTGGGGTTTTGAAGAGAATATGAAGGATATTGTGGACGGGAAAGTAATTGTTGACCCTATTGTGGAGATGGGAGTTATAAAGCTGGGCCTTCAGGATGCAACGCCGCGCCATGATGACGACTTCAGCTTTTATGTCAAGAAGTCTTAGATAGGCGGAAAGTAGCTGACTAGGATGAAACTTTCTAAGTAGTCATGCAAGACCTTTTTTCCAATGACGTGCTGTATCAAAATACGTTGGAACATGCTCCGAGGAGACATGTCATTCTTCACTTATCGCGTAAATGGACTGGCTTTTTGGCATTACTTAATAAATTATTCTTCTAGCAAATAACTCAGCTGATTGGTTACAAAATTCTACTTCTAATTTATTTTAGGGAGCAAAAAAAGAGCAAGAAAGCCACAAGATCTTAAGTGAGTTCTTGAGTACTAATTCAGTCGCTAAGGCTCCTGATGCCAAGTAACGGAATTTTTCACACCAACAACATACCCAGTGGTCGTCAGAGACAGATGAAACTATGGTAAAAGAAAGATACTTTTCATAGCAACGTACTCTACTAAAGTTCCCATTAAATCCAAACGTCACCTTACAAATGGAGATCTCAAGAGTGTGTGGAGTTTATTACTCCAGCTCCTGGAATTGTGCCCACGACTCGGACTTTCCGGTTAGACTTGGCACTAGCATCGCCTTAAACAAGGATAAGAACCCTTGCCCCAGTGTAGTCGCCTCTCTATCTGAAGCTGAAGGAATGAGGCGCCAGCGTATGCCCTTGTAGTTTGAGATCCGGCGTCAAGCCGATGGGGTAATGACCGAAAACGCACGGTTTCGTGCTTCACGGTGCCCTTGTAAAACACAGAGCCCCAAAGGGACTTGGAGCTGTGCAAGGATAGATAAGCTACAGAAAATTGCTCCGATTCCGGGGGGATCCAACCCTAGTCTGAACAACTTCGGCATCCGCGGCGGGTGGTATGGCTGCCAAACAAAGAAACTCCAGTCCCTGATGGCGCCACCGTGCAGATCATTCCAATATATCTGTGCGAGCTAGACGCTTCTAGGCGATTGTTCAGCCTGGGAAAGCATCTTGCCATCGGGTCTGTTTAGCCCATAGAGGCCGCAAGGCGGTAGTGATACCTAAAGTACTAGTCCGGGCCAAGGTCTTACCTTGATGTCGGGGCCTTTCCTCTCGTAACTTACCTCATACCCAATGAAAGTGGCGATACTACCTTCCACATCGAAGCAACGCCCAGAAGCCCAAAGAACAACGAGTTGCAAAAGCGACTATAAGTACCGTGTTGAGTCCTTCTCAATTTCAAGCTATTGCTGTTCTTCACCTCAACACTCAACATCGCGGACTACACAGTCTCAACATTCTTTCGTATTTACTATCAAACATAGTCTACAACATGATTTCGCTCAAAGCCCTCGCCGTTGGAGTTGCGCTCGCCACAGTTGGCTGTGCCCAGGAAGTTATCAAGACTGGACTCCTTCAGGCCAAGAGCGTGGATCTTGGTACCGTTTACCTGTACAAGCCCCAAAGCGATGGTGGTGGTATGTTTTACCAGTCCTGGCCATGCCCAACGTCTCCATCTGACAGATTTTGCTAACGGGAAAAGACCCTGTATGGGCACAACTTGGCGGGGAGGGCCAAGCCAATCAGTTCACTCTCAGATCAGATTCGACTATCTCGACTAAGGGACTGACCCTCAACATCATGAGGAATCAAATCGATGAAAAGCGTCTAGGCTACAGTGGTGTTATCACTTCGGAAAACGGCTGGAAGATAGTGGATGGTAATAAGCTTGTCTCCGACGGCGTCTTCTATGGCTACCAGGATGAATTCCAAGCTTGCAGGTACGCAGGCGGAGAATACTTTGTAAGAAGACTTCTATCGCCTTCCCACTTGGTCTCTTAAACTAATAAAAAATTACTGATATAGGTTTACCTTGTCTCTCATAAAGCGGATAATATGGAGTGTGTTCCTCTTGGCGCTTTATACATTATTTAAGTCAATTTTCCAAATTGAACATTTCTTGTGATGTAGAGTTGGAGAACTGGAATCTACTGCCGATAACGATACCAAAATCTTGTAGTAATGAGAAAGAGGCTCTTGAGATAAAAATATTAGTTGGCAGAGATCCTTGCCGTCCTTACTACTCTACTCTAGCCGCTCTTGAAAATTTTCAGCGGACAGCTGTGTGGTTTGAGAATAAGACAACTGTTATAGATATATATATATATGAAGCAAGCAACGATATCAATTGAAGCAAAAAAATGATGATGACTGAAGAGACGATCTATCTCTTCGCAGGTTCTGACAGAAGTTTGAATTAGTGTGCAACCACTTCTTCATTCGATCCTTAATAGTATCAATGCCCAAAGCGCGATGCATTATGTAAACCATCACTGGGTATCAATCTGAATCCGCGGGATCAAATGTACATTCAGTGGAGGTTTATCCCAAAAGAACAATATCTTTTGATCATCAATCCAGCCCTCGGATTCCGGTGCCATCTTCAAATCAAAATTCCAGATAATGCGAGCAAGTATCAAACGCATCTCAGTGTATGCAAGACTATGCAAGGAGTCAGTAACCAAGCATGCCGACATGCATATATTAGGCGCCGGCGGTGCAGCGAAACACTTACTTCATGCCGATACAGTTCCGCGGTCCATAGGAAAAGGGCTGGTGAAGATCTTTGTGATCGTTGGCAAATCTCTCGTCAGTGAGCCAGCGGTCGGGAATAAACGAGTCAGGGTAGAGAAACTTGGAAGGGTTGTGGTAGACGGAATATTGCCAAATGCCCACACTAGCCTATGGATGAGGTATTAGTTTCGCATGTATTCCGCTGTTTGTAGTCTGACCTACGCCTCCGGCCACATACTGGCCATTGATCTGTGTTCCACAAGATGGTGTCTGGCGGGTCAATGCTATGGCTACCGGCGGATAGACTCGCATTGACTCCTTGAGGACAGCAAGCATGTATGTCAAGTTCTGGACGCTGTGGATATCGATTTCGCCCTCGCTCTTGAAGGCTGAACGGACCTCGGCGGTCAACTTGGCCAGAACGTCGGGGTGAGAGCAGAGAAAGTAAGTTGTCGCTACCAGCGTTGTAGCAGTTGTTTCTGATCCTGCTGTGGTAAGGAGCACACTCGTGTCAATCATTTCACGCTCTGACATTTGCTACCGCCGATGGTAAGAACGCGGTCAGTATAACAAAAGATTCAGCAAAAGGCCAAAGGAGTGCGGCAGAACACTAACCCCATTGTTCAACATGGCATCGACAAAGTCAGGTCGTATCATTCCCAGACCGATCCGCTTTTTCAGCGTCTCGCGGCTAAAGCCGACGCTGGTTTGCCGGTTCCTCATCACCTCCCCACCAAAGCAAAATATAAATAAGGAGAAGAAGATCGAAGAGAAAGGCAGTTCACGTATGACCTGCATCAGAGGGATACTCTTCATAGAACTAAAAAGGATGTTGACCCACGGATGTGACTTGGAGTCACGAAGGCAGCCAAAGGACTCCCCAAAAGCCAGGTCCCCGATAATGTCAAAGGTTGCCCACTCGTACCACTTGGTCAGATTCAATGGCTTGGTGCCGTTGTCGCCATTTTCACGCAGCCTCTGCATGAACAGGTCAATGTACTCGTTGATGAATGGCTGTTGCTCGACCATGGCTCGTGCCGAGAAGGCATGCGCCAGAATGCGTCGCAACGGTCCATGTCTTTCGCGTCTCGCCGAGATGAGACTCTGGTCCACGTCTTCGTTGGTCCACTTGGGATCCTTTCCATTCTCTGGCTGGCCATGCTTCAAGTGTCCACAAATCTCCTTCCATGCATCATCATGTGCACATGCCAGCTCATTTGGGCCGACACGGACAACATCGCCGTATTGCTTATGTAGCTCAAGTATTTTCTTATGTGGCCTTCCCCTGGCAATATTCAAGGCTGCAGGTAACGGACTGACTGCCCAAAGTTTAGGGCCAGGAAATTGGCGTAGAGGGTGGAAGAAGACATTGTAGATAGCTCTCGATGCGGCATATCCAACCAACTGGTTTATTGGTTAACATCGTGTTCTTAACCCCTCACTCAACAAGTATCTACCCAGAGCACGTACCAAAATACAACAAAGCCCGAAAAACGAGGCCAGCGATGGCCCCCGAGTCTCAGTCGCTAGATTCACTAAGGAGACCATCTCGATATCATCGATGTGATGTTTGCAGCGGTCTGCGAGTGAGAGATGTCAAAGCTGTGTTTACATGAGGACATCTTGCTAAATATATACTGGCCAGATCGGCGCAAGATTGGTTACATCTGGAGCAGAGGTTCCAAGGGCAGTAGCCCTGCTCATCAGACATCTTGAATGGATTCTTGCGAAATTCGGTTCCCATGCCTTAACTCTGAAGACTTCGGCTCGTACATGTTAGATCACACGCCGAAGAGGATGCTTGTCGGATCGTTGATTATCTCCGCTCCTTCTTCGCGCCCGGAGGTTTAAGTTGACCAATCCCGCTGACAAAGCGGTTTCTTCCTCACAGACGGTGCATCCCAGATTATAGCTACCCTATATACGTTCAAGACCAACTCAATTAATGTTCTGTTGTCGTCAACGTTCTATGACTTACCATCTAATGCTAGTTCAGGATGATTTTTAGCTCCTACCCACTAAGATTTCAGCCATAATCTAATGGCTTGCCGCCAGCCTCGTTATAAAATTAGAAAACTGTATCACAAACTACCTCGGCATGCGGATAATCCCAGATCTGCCTACGCTTATATCTTGGGCAACAATTCCTTTATTAGCGAACTTCCTACAAAGACATCAAAATCCCACCTTTCTCTTGTTGAAAATAGGTTTTCAAAAAAATAAGAAATAAAAAGCAATTCATTAACGAAGCCGTTGACTACCTTAAAGTAACAGAGTCTTTGTCGTGATTTGCAAAGTTAGGGAGTTGTGCTTCTCCTGCCGTACTCATTCCCTCTCCTAGCCAGGTACAGACGTATGTAATTAGAAACCGACTTGTCGTTTGCGTTGCCTGAAAATACGAACCACAGCCCCTAACATATCGCGGAATCGCGTCGCTTCCTCTTGCTTATCCCGCCTCGGTTCCTCTTGCTCATTAAGCCCAGGGTTCTCTTGCTTATTCCAGCGA